GCATGACGTTTTACCAACAACTGGTGAAGCACAAACGCCACAGACGAATGGAAGAGCAGAAGCAGCGGTGCGACTGATTAAGGCACGCACCAAGGTTATCCTCAAAATGTCGCAGCTACCAATAGCGTGTTGGCCGTGGGCAATGACACATGCTGCCTGGGCACAGAGAGAACATGCTTTGGGAAGGGGCTCGAAAGTCATTCCATTTGGTGCGAAGGTGCATGTGAAGGACAAGGTGTGGCCAATACGTTCTGGTCGAGATCTCTCAATAAGATGGAAGGAAGGACAATTTGTAGGCCCGGCGACAGACGTGCCTGGGGGCTTTGTTGTGCGGTTCCCCGATGGCAAGTACACGACCACTATGCACATGAGGCCGAACTTGCTGGATGTGGACAATGTCTTCGAAATGCCACATGTGGAAGCAACGCTACCGATACCGGGAGAAAGACTTCGAGCAAAGACGAGGCTGCGAGTTCCTGAAGATGCTCGAGACGCACCAGAACCCAAGGGTGATGTAGCTTCGTTACCACATGGGGGTCCTTCTATAGATGCTCGAGACGCACCAGAACCCGAGGGAGATGTAGCTCCGTTACCACATGGGGGTCCTTCTACAGACGTACGAGACGCACCAGAACCCGAGGGAGATGTAGCTTCGTTACCACATGGTGGTCCAAAGGAAAGTGCAAGGCGCAGAAGGCTTCGTGAAAAGACCGCTCTCAGGTTGCTTGAGCCGATGTCTGAGGAGGAGCAGGGCGCAGAGAATCTAGCCAAGGACCTCTACAGCCGGTCGAAGTTCACCATTGAGGATGTGACGCAGCTCTACGGTCTCCTGCAGAAGTGCAAACAAAAAAGAACTAAGGTGATGGCTAGACAAACCGAGGAATCTTCGACAACGTGGTCAGTTGGAATGTTCACACATGGCGGAATCTCTGGAATTCGTGCGTCAACAAAACGAATGCCCGAGGTGACGAGATATCTGGTTTCGGCAGCAAAGCATTTGATGGAGCTTGAGCATGTTGGAGCCATCATCGTGGCCAAGAATGCGAGGTTGGGATTGCACAGGGATAGCAACAATGAAGTGCAGACCGTGAATGCTGTGCTACCTCTAACGAACTTTGAGGGTGGAGGAGTATGGGTGCAGCATGATGACGAGATTCTGGAAGAAAAGGAGGAAGATCGAAGAGAAGTTCGTCCTGGAGTATGGGTTGGTGGCATTGTGAATGACCTGAAGAAGGGGCAACCTTTTCGGTTTAATCCAAGGAGATGGCACGCTGTGGAACCGCATGAAGGAGAAAGAGTGGTGATGATAGCGTACACTCCGAGGAGCAGCAAGTTGACCACGGAAGACCGCAGCGAGCTCATGAAGCTGGGTTTCAACATACCGGAGCCAAGGTCGCAGCAGGATGAGCCTGAAGAAAATCGAAAAGAATTGGTACCAAAGGAGGTGGAAGAGTATGTGCTCGATGAAGAATGGTGCTCACGGCCTATGAGGAAGCCCAAGGCTTTTGAAGGAATTATGACAGGCCACAACGTACCACCAGAAGAAGATAAGGACTCGTGCTACGACATCGAGGATGGTCTTCTTTGTCTCAATGAAGCACAGCGCCAACTCATCGAGGACCTTCAAACTAGGTCCCAATCCCTGCAAGCTCTTCTTGAGGAGGAGGAGGATTTGATGGAAGATCTGCAAGCAGCGAACCGCGGTGTTGAGTGTGAAGCACGACATCTACATGGGGTTCTTCTGGACTTGTTGTCAAAGACTTCTGACTTCATGCAGCAGGAGGACAAGAGGCAAACCCGGGCATGTCTTCGAGCAGCAGCAGCGCATGTGGATCCCGATTACGAAAGGTTGCTCGAGGAACTTTCGGGGCCACTTCAAGTCGTGCACACGGTTCCACTAACACAGGTGAGGCCTGTGGTGGAAAAATGGAGAAAGTCCATAGTGAAGGAAATCAATCAGCTCTTCTCCGGCGGCACTCTCGTCAAGATCGATGCAAGGGAAGCAAAGAGGCAGGAGGCTTTGGGGCTGATAAGAATAGTCCCAAGCAAAGGAGTCTTCACTCTCAAACCTCCAGCAGCTGACAGTTCAGATTGGTACAGACGTAAATATCGACTTGTGCTGTGCGGAAATTATGTGGCTTTGGATGATGCTACCAGCTCGCTTTACGCTGGAGGCGCTTCAGCTGAAACATTCAGAACTGTGCTGGCAATGGCATCGAGGAGAAGGTGGAGAGGGGCAGCAAGCGACATTACTGGCGCTTTCCTCCTCGCTGACTGGCCTCCTGGCATGCCATCATATGCAGTACAGCCTCCGAAGATGTTGGTGGAAATGGGCCTAGCGAATGCCAACGAGTACTGGTTAGTGCAAAGACCGTTGTATGGGCTTCGGGAAAGCCCATCCATATGGGCTGCCTACAGGTCAGCGAGGTTTGCCAAGGCCAGGATACCGTACAAGGAGGGCTACATTGTGCTGAAGGCCTCGACTGCGGACCCGGAGCTGTGGCTGGCTTTCTACATCAAGGAGGGCGTATCAGAAGAAAGGCTGCAAGAGGCACTGAAGGAGGAGAGAAACGACGTGGAGCTGATTGCTATGGTGATCACGTACGTTGATGATCTCTTTTACTTGTCCGATGATGAGGTGGTGGGTATGCTACACGGCTGGGTACAATCTGAATGGCCTTGTTCAGCTTTGGAGTGGGCAAATGCGGAAGGCGGAGCAAGATATCTGGGACTTGAAGTGTACCAGCGAGAAAGTGGAGAGTTTGAGGTGAAGCAGGAAGGCTACATCTTGGACCTTGTGCGAGCTCATGACTTGATGAATGCACCCCAGACGCTATTGCCGTGTCCCAAGGAGTGGATAACCGAGGAGCTGGACGCTGAGCCTGAGAACTTCACGGAGTCCGAGTTGCGACATGGACAAAGAATGGTAGGAGAACAGTTGTGGCTGGCGATGAGGAGTCGCCCAGATATACAATATGTTGTCAACTACATGTCGTCTTGGGTGAGCAAGCAGCCGGTGCGAGTAGCCCGCATAGCCACAAGAGTCCTGATGTACCTGCACAAGACAGCGAAGATGATCTTGGTACTGGGACAGCCAGCAAGCAGCAATAGCAGCAGCAGCAGCAGCGAACCAGCAACTTTTAGGGGTGTAACTCTTACGGGTTTTAGCGACGCTAGCTTCGCTCCGTTTGGATCCAAGTCCTTTGGAGCGTCGGTCGTAACCGTCAACGCGACCCCAGTTTCCTGGCGCTGCGGTAAGCAGCAATTCGTCACCTTATCGGTGATGGAGGCGGAGTTGGTCGAAGCCGCTGAAGCAAGCTTGTTACTTGAAAATGTCGGGTGTTTAATCGACGAGCTGATGCAATCAAGGACGCCGAGACTTCTGCTTGTGGACAACAGCAGTGCGGTGGCGATGCTGCTGGGTGGACAAGGGTCATGGAGAACCCGACATCTGCGGGTCAGAAGCCAATGGGTGCGAGAAAGAGTACAAAGAGGTGAGTTGTTGGTGCAGCATGTTTGTGGCCAACGACAGTTGGCAGATTTGGCAACCAAAATGCATGGCAAGGCACGATTATGGGAGTTGCTCAAGCTGTGGAGTCTTCAGGAGTTGCCAGATGAGGCCAAGCTTGCCGAAGTTGGAAAGGTTCTCGTCCTGTTGTGTTTGGCAAGGTTTCTGGAAACAGTTCCAGGGGCCACTGCAGCCGACGCATTTGAAGCTGAAGATGAAGCCGAACCGTTGCAGTCTGGTATGATGCCCTCGATGAACCTGACGCAGTGGGATGAGCTTCTGGTGGTTTCTGGCGTGGCATGTGTTGCAGCCATAGCAATTTGGGAGCTTCTTAAGCGAATGGCTTCCTGGTTGATGAGCTGTTTCAAAGTGGATGCAAAGCAAAGGCGTCTTCGAAAGCTGAGACATCTTGCAAGGGCCGCTGCAGAAGCTGAAGTGGAAAGATCCTTTGGAATCGGTGGAGATGCGATGCCATCTCCGCAGCAGGTTGAATCTGCGGTACAGGGAGCCTACACGAGGGTCGAAAGGAGGCATGTCAATGCAATGTCAGCTTCTACGCGATCCTTGATGGTGGACAGCAGTTGCCAAACAGATTTGCCTTTGCTTGCGCCGCAGAATGTTCCACTGTATCAGCCCTTCAATGGTCCCTTCTTTCTCACGGATCAAGGAGACGTTGTTCATGTGCATCGAAATTGCCAAGGCTTTAACTCTGCATACCATGCGGTTAGATCGAGGCGATACTGTGTGTACTGCGCCCGAACCACGCCGCTGGGAATGCGATGAAGCTACGAACGAATTTGGTTGCTGCGACCCACCATGTTGGATGAGCATTTCTGGATGGAAGGGAGGCAACTCTGCAAGGCCTTTTCAGTTGTGGAGCAGCTGATGCACCAGACCTTAATGGTCCACGTATGATGTAACTCAAGCCCGAAGGGCTGAGTTAAGGAGGAGTGTTGAATGTGATGCTCCTTCAGGCATGGCAGCTCGACAGCAGTGATGTGCAAGATCAGCTGCAGGAACGACAGCAGTGCTGTACAAGATCAGCTGTAGGCTCGAAGCAGTCTGTGCAAGATCAGCTGAAGGACGTGTAAAGGTAATTACCTGAACAGCTTTTGTTGTGCGTGAAAGTAAAATCAATTCGCCGCCATGGTTCCTTTGTGACCTGGAGCTCCACGAGGCCATTTCATTTCCTGCCCGAACCTGCCGTCTATCGGCAACCCCTAAACGGCCCTTAGGGTTCGCGCGCTCTTAAATCTGGCAGATCCAGGTTCCACCACAGGGTACTCCGTGGCGTCTTCTTCCGAGGACTCGAAGGCGACGACAATGCCAATGCTGCCATTGACCAGTGGAGTTTGCAGCCCCTGCAGTGCCGCCCGAGGCATTCGAAAAACACGAACAAAGAGTCATACTTCTTGAGGCAGGACCCACTCACGCCTTGTACTCGGAAGGAAGGTCCATGAAGCTGGCATCAAAGGCAGGGACGATGGATGGGTCACGCCTGCCGTTGCCTGCGACTGGCGATCACAGCAGCAGTTGCAGGTATGCCAGCCTCCGGCCGTCTAATGCGCGCCAGAACACCAGAAAGGCAACAAACAAGGTCTCCGGGTCTCTGAACAGTGTAAGGCTGAGGACTTAGGGCCACTCGAGGCTGCGAGGGTCACCTGAGAACCCAGAAGCCTACAATGGCCTACAAGCTGCCCACAAGCACAAGCAAGCCAGAGCCGCCCCTTTGGAAGACCACGGGCTTGCAGTCAGATGGCAGGCGGAGGTTCTTCAGCAACATCACGACCTCGGATGCAAACACAGCCTGCGCTTGGGACATCGGGCAGCTGTCAAACCTTATACAAGACCTAAACCCTAGGCCTCAGGCTTTTCTGCTCCGTGCGCACATCAAGTCATGGAAAGAAGCCGATGGGCCGGTGCTGTTCAACGATGCGAAAAGCTAACAAAGATCATGCTCTCGAGTACAGCGCCTTGAGCCTGCCCCCTTCCTTCGTTACATGGTAGGGCACGCGCATGCCATGACCACTCTCTCAGAGTGCTTGACAAGGCTTAGAAAGGCTCTTCGAGTCTTACCGTTTATGTGCGGATCGGGTCTGGGGTCCTCCAACAAAGCCACAGTTTTGAAAGCACGGCAGCATCTACCACACCTGTTCGGGGGCCAGGCGACGCAGCCCACCTTCAGTTCGAGGGTTTGCTCCGCGAGCAGGTTCTGAAACGCGGTCTTCACCGCAGGATCCTTGCTGCGCGCCGAAGCTGTGGGACTACTTGGAGGTTCATGGGTAGTTACAATATGTTACAAGTAGGGTGACAAGTAGGTGACCGTACTTCTGACCTTTTTGCTTCCGGGCTGTTGCAGTGGCCGAGTCTAACCTTACTTAAGGTAACTCCTAACCCACCCATGAACCTCCAAGTAGCTCTCGACTCCCGGTCCCGGTTCCCAAGGCCCCTCGCGTGGGGGGGTTCCAGCGCACAGCGTTGTTTGAACCCTTGTGCATCCTGCCAGGCCTTGAGGCTTAGGGCGCAGGGTGTGTAAGCAGTTTGGGAGCGACACATCTTTGCACCGTTTCTAGTCTGCCCCAGCGCTCCAAAAGACAACGTACACAGGTTCTCAAAACGTAACAACCGCACACTGCGAATGGGGAACGACGAGGAGTCACACGGACTCGCCGAATCCATCGCCTCAGCAACCCTGACACTCCAAAAAACCCTCGAGCCTACTCAGGTGCTACTCGACACGAAAGGCCTCAGCCACACCCCAAAGCCCCAAACATCCCAGATGCATCGTAAACCGAACCGGACCTCCACTCCCCGCCAGGCTGCGAAGGGACTGTCAGCAACATCCAAGGCTTCGAAAGCCCGGGCAACGCCAGAAAGCCCGGCGAGATTCCTTCGGACTTTTGGGGGGGGGGGGTTCTTCGGTTCAGCCCAGAAAAGGTGTCCAGGAGCTTTCTAGCGCAGATTTCTCAGCCCCCCCATGTGCAATGAATCCAAAGAGCCATGGAGTTTCCCCTAAACCCTAAACCCTAAACGCCTTTGGGTTGATGCTTGCTGTCGTTGGGCGGCTGGGGACTCAAGGCTTCGGGGTCGAGCTGGGCTGCATCTTCGGATCCTGCTTCGAAGCGCAGGGAGAAGTCTGCTGCAGAACAAGCGCCGCGAGAGCACGTCCCAGAAGCAACCACTCCCAAAAACCCTAAACCCCAAACCCTAAACCCCAGAAAAATCCAAGGGTGCAGGGCACGAAATCCTCGTGTTGATCTTGAGCGCTTCGTCGTTGGTGCTCACGATTTTCGGGTGGACCTGGACGAGGCTTTCAGGTCATGGTCTTGAGCTGCTGTTTAGGGTTTAGGGTTTAGGGTTTAGGGTTTAGGGTTTAGGGTTTAGGGCTTATTTGGTGCTTCAAATCTTTTGGCCATGGTCTGGTTACGTGTGCTACTGTGACGCTTGAAACAAGCCGATGACAGGTGGCGTCAGGCGCCTGCCGCTCTTGAGTCAAGACTGAGACGTTGCCTCTGGGGACCCACTACTGCACCAGGGATCTGACGACAACAGGGATAGTACTAACTAGTAAATATACAAAATAACTAGTGATCATTAACAGTAACTCAGAACTAATGACTGATAGTAGTCACGATAACGAGCCACCAGTGCACAGTCATGTACGGCCCCCCACCCTTCGCCTGGCCTCGCCATCATGATCGGACATGTCACCTGATACTAGGTTGCTGCTGTCGCCCTTCTCAGCGGCGGCTTAGGGACGTTCAAGGGTTTACAGAGTCTGGTAGACTTGAGGCACACATGTTGCCGCAGCCTCCATGGCTCTTGTGAATGTAAGACACAGGAACCTGATCAAAAGCATCCAAAAAATGCATGGCTTCTTATCTCAAGTTATGATTGAAGTGTCTGCTCAGATGATGCACTCCCCTGAACCCGAACTACATGCCGTGCGAAATCACAGAATCGAACAAGATGAACAACGCCGCATCCACAACCCCCCAAAAGCCCTCCAACAACTCCCTTCGAACGAGCCACCGAACGTGGACAGCAACGACTTCTCCAGCACACCCAGGCGCAGCTGCCCCAGCCTTTCTCAGGTGGTCTCAAGAACTTGTCGCGGATGTCACTTTGGGGCCTGGGACCCCTCCAGGCCGACACCAAACCCGAAACCTGGGACCCGGATCTTCGAGAGCAGGGCTGAAGCTCCAGCTGAGCTGCAGCGACTGGAGCGCCTCGTCGCCTGGGCAAGATGGGAAAGCGCCCCCGTTTTTGTGCATGACTATGGTGTATGTATATATATATATATATATGTATATATATACAAGAAGATGATTTTAGTTTATACGTTTTACTATGCTCGCTCTTACTTTAGGCTTTGTCTATGTATGTATACGAAATTCGACGTATGTATATGCATGTAAATGTATGCAAATGTATGTAAATGTGTGAAAATGTATGTAAATGTATGTAAACGTATGTAAATGTATGTAAATGTATGTAAATGTATGTAAATGTATGTAAATAGAATGCCATCCCATGCCTACGCCAGTAAGGACCGCTAGAAGCTGCAGCGGCCTCCTCAACAGCCTCCAGAACTCCCGCTCCCATCCCACGCTGCGTCGACATGGCCAACCTCTAACACAGCCCTCGAGGTCCGAAAGCCCCCGCGCCCAAAGACCCGCTGAAGTATCCGAAGCCGTGGCACCTGATTGCCGGAAGTTGTGCTTCAGGTTGAAGCACCTCTTTAACGGGCGGGCGCCCTATTGTAGGGGTTGTCTGAAACCTAAACCCCAAGCCAGGGCACCCGGTATTCAATCTCAAGGGGTGCAGAACGAGCCATTCAAACTCCAAAGACCATGTCAACCAAGCTCCTTGCGCCCTTCTTGCGGGCCCCAGAAACCCTTCAACCCACCCTACCCACCCGATGTGAGGCCTTAGATTCAAAGCCTCCCACACGGACGCTTGGAAGGCCAGCGAGGTCGCCTCGCCCGGCAACAAGTGCTTTGGATACACATGGCATCGGGCTTCGGGGGTTCCAGGGCTTTTCACTGCTCATATCTGTTTGTTCGCGGTCAGCGTCTCCGAACGGTGAGAAAACTCGTCACCCCTCCCATCAGACTGCATTGGCCAGATATCCACAAGCCCCCGCCATTCAAACCCAGGCAAGAGAACTTAAGCACACACCCACTGTAAGACCCGAGTTTGCCGAGATGTCTGGTTTTGAGTACGGGGGCCCTGTGCCGGCCGGAGCGGATGGAGGGAAGTTCCAACAGCAAGCAACCCTGCGCGACACGATGCAGTAGAACACGCCTGAGCTTCCCTGCGCCAAAGGCAAAGTTGCTCAGAAAACAAATTTGATAAACCCCAAACCCTTTGTCTGTCGTTGTCGCCTTGACGGGCGGCAGCTGCAGGAAATCCCCGCAAAGGACCACCTGGAGGCCTTCGGCGAAGCAGTTTGGGGGATTAGGGGTGTTTTCCTTTTTTATGTTTGGGGGGGGGTCCAGGGTTTCGGGTTTAGGCTCTTTTGTGGCGACTCAGTACTGCCTCAAGCAGCCGGTTATGATTTTCAGCGCAAGGCAATGCATGCACATTCCTTGTACCTTTTGTTCAGAAGCTCTGAATATTTCAGCGAGCCCACCCCCAACAAACCTCTCGGAGCCGACAGTGCCTACAAATCACTGCTTCGTTTCACGGTGTTCCTGCGAATTATTTTAATGGGGCCATGCATGTTCCGGCGAACTGTGCCTCCGAAGGGCTTCTCGGAAGCAAGGACCTGTGCCACCTGGCCACGAGGCTTTGAACCACAAATCCCGCCCAAGTTAGTCCAGGGCCCTGCCAGAAAACGAGGCACCGAGTTGCCCCCCCGCCACCCCCCCCCCCCAGTTGCTCTCATGTGCAGGATTTCAGCTGGTTACCTCTTTATTACTATGTTATCCTAGCTGAATCCGTTAATTAACTGCAAAATTTTTGCATTGCCCGAAGCCATCCCGAAGCACGCAGCGGCCGTGAACTTCAGGCATACCTTTGAGTGGGTCTTTTTTTTTTTGGGGGGGGGGGGGGGGGTGGAGGTTCGACACCCAGCGGCCAGCTGTCCGGCTTCTTCCAGAAACTCACCTGACGGCAACAGGATCGGCAGCGCAGCAATACATGACCAGAGACTTACATACTGAGATGCTTGCCCCAGGAGGGTTGAGCAAAAGGGGCTCTCGGCTGAGGGGCTCCAGGGTGGTGACAACCCCCTCAATCCCTGAAAGTAGGATCCGCAGCTTTCCAGCCAGGGCCAGAAGAAAGCTTTGAGCGCAAGGCATTCGAAGGCATTAGGGGGCTCCAGTAGGGCGCTGAGAATCTGGGGATCTGGTGCCATGAAGGCTGTGTGCGTGTGTGTTCACTCTGGCCCACCTGAAATCATGCTCACCTCATCGATTAGCAGTATCTCGGTGTTGCGAATACGCCTGGGCAGGAGCTCCCAGAATAACCCGCATTTGGGGCACGTGCTTCCTCAAGCCTTGGCTGAAGTACTTGGGGCTGTGGGAGTCCGATCTCTCTGAAGCCCCTAAGCCCTTGCAGTTTAGGATTTAGGGTTTAGGGGAGGGCGACTTTGCACCAGCTGCATGAGCAAGCTTAGACTTTCATCTGGCTTGTTTCTGGTGGGCTCAGGCTTTAAGGTTTGGAGCTGGGGCCATGGATACAGGATGATACAGGCTCCAACCAAGGGAACGTCTCAGGTCAAGACAGCCGGCAAGAACACAAAGCTGCCCCGTCAACCTCAAAATCCCGAGCCCTAAGCCTCATAAAGGAAAGTACCCACAAGGCCCTCACGATGAACTTATATACCCCTAAACCCGAAACCCTAAATCCTAAACCCTGAACCCGGGACATTGAGCACTTCGGGTCTGAGACAAACCCCTCAGTTCGGGGGCCCCGGCTTCTTGACCTTCCTGCTGCGGAACGCCTTCTGCCAGTCCTCCTCCGACTCGCCGGCCTTGCAACCTGGTCCATCAGAGCTTTGCTGGCTTAGGGTTTAGGGGTTTAGGGTTTTCCGGGTTTAGGGGTTAGGGTTTTGTTTTTTGGTACACTTCTCGATCTGTGGGTTAGGGTTTAGGGTTTAGGGTTTAGGGTTTAGGGTTTATGGGACTCTAGAGGTTCAAAGGCAGAGATGCGGTTTTCTGTGGCGGGGGGGGTGGAGGAGGGTGTGAGGTCGTTCCCTCCATTCTGCACTTGCTTGGCAGGATGTGCCCGTCCTGGGACCAAAAAGGTTCAGGATGCGCAAGATGCGGAGTAACTTCAAAGGGAGGGGGGAAGGGAATTGTACTTCAAGGACCAGTTTGAAGTTGTTGGGGGGTTCTGATCATTAGGGTCCCGCTTTTGGGCCTGTATTTTGGGGGGGGAACTGCCCAAATAGCAAGGCCAAGGCACCCTCTGAGGCCAACAAACCCCTGACACCCCGCTTGGGAAGTTTTTGGGCTTAGGGTCTAGGGGTTCCGACTCATGGTACAATTCTTTTCCGATTGTCCTCGGGCGACCCTTTTCAACCATGGGGGAATGCAGACTGTCCTAACCCTTACTAAACCCTAAACCCTAAACCCTAAACCCTGGTTGCCGGCTGGCCGAGGTAGGAGTGGAAGGTCGAGCCGCCAATCTGGGTGCCGTTTGGGGGGGTTTTTGTTTTGAGACATACACACGTCCAGCTCTCCTTGCTAGTAACTTTGTGCCCGGTCACTGAGCCTGGGCTTCAGGTTTAGGATTGGACAGAGTCGGTGAAAACAATGCCTGCAAAGCAACGCCAAGGAGCAAAGCAAAGGTACGTGCACAGATGCGCACGTGCATGCACAGAGATACAGATGGATCGTTGGCAAGCTCGCAAGGTGGCACCACACACAACGTGGCCCCTCGTGCCGCAAAGGCCCACTTCCCTTTTTGCATGAACCCTGGGCTGCCATGAAGAGAGGCCCCCCCCACACTTCGTCAGCCGTCGAAGCCCCCCCCAAGGCTTCAAAAAAGCTGTCTGAGCCTTTTCGGCAGCTCCCGGCTGTCCCAACTTGACCGGCGAGCTGCGTGGATGCCGGCCACGCCAGTGGAAGCGCAGACCGCCACCGCCTCATGGCCCTGCCGTCAGGGGGGAGCAAAAACCAACACAAAGCTTGGGAGGCACTTAGTGGGGGTTTAGGAAAATCCCCAATGCAGTCTCCCAGGTAGTAGGGTTCCCTTGTCAGAAGGACCCCAAGAAGGTACCCCTTAGTTTCGGAAACCCCCACTTGAGCATGCAGACGTGACGACATGCTTGCGGCTTCCTGCCATGGGACGCCGCAGCGTCCCGCCGCACCCCGAAATCCCCAGAAACCATCCCACCGCGCCTTCCGCAGGCGAAGGATCTCGATGAGCTTCTTCAACAAGAAGCTTTTGCCACAGCCCGGAAGCCCTAGACGTGTGCGCTGACACTTTCGCCGTCTGGGACAACCCGGGATTCCGGGACTGCGAAGTTCGGGGTGCAGAGCTTAGAGCTCCTTTGGGAGTTCAAGATGTGAAAACCTGCAACTTCGGAGGGACACGAAGGGCAGAACCCATGTTCAACAGCATAACTATCCAGAATATCTTCAGCAAATCATGTTGCGGAAGTCCACAAACGTCAGCGAGGGCCCCTGTTGCAAAGCCACGGTCGGGCCCGCGGAGCACCGGCGAGCCTGTGATGAAAACGTTGCGGCCCGCCAGCACCTCCTCAGCAATGACCATCTGCTCCTGTACACACGTGACAGGTGTGTATATATATATATGTATAAAGATATGTATTTATATTTATATTGATATGTATATTGATACTTTTTATAATATAATATACATATATATATATATATGTGTCCATACATGCACAAAAAAAGAACCCACTGGACGAGGGATGGAAGTCCCTTCTGACACCCTTGCAGCTATGGCGAAACTTGGCAAGTGCGGCTGTTGGCACTCGCAATGGTCCGAAAACAGGCACGCAATGTTGTTCCTGGGCTGTCCTCGTGCAGCTCTGCTAGCAGCTTCGCTTCTGCTTCGGGGTCTGGCTCCTTTCCAACTTCGGCGTTACTGTCCGGTTGTTCATTCAGGGTCTTCACCGTGGGACTACGCACACCAGGTTGCAGATTCTTGGGGCGAAGGCAGGAACACGTCAGCAACCGGCCGGACCCAGTCTTAGACTCGTCGCCACGAGCAATTCTTGCCACCTGTCTAGCAATGCTCCACGGCTACCGCAGAAATTCAGAAAGGATTCCACTCGAGTGGCCCAACTGAAGTCCAAGTTTCAGACGGCACCAAGACTCGCGACGATCACGTTAACACAAAGCCCGAACTTGAACACATGGCTTCTCCATCCCCTCGCAGCTGCCCAACCTTGTGCTCGCGCTTGGGGCTCGCCGCCTCACGGGTCAACCCTCGGCTTGGTGCACTACCGGCTCCCGTTACCCCTAAGCGACCTCCTCCTTTAACCATAGGACCTCGTGGTCCTCTTGGGCCACCCTCTCTCCCAAGGAGGGGCCACAGCCAGGTGTTGTGGTGGCCTGTGGGGGGGGATGGCGCTACCCCCACTGTCCCTTTCAGGATCCTCGGTGCGGCTTTGCCTGTCATGGCTCCGCCGGTCGGGACGGCGCCATCTCGGCGTGACTGTTTGAGAGGGGGAGATATGCTTATGCTCGTCTTGCTCTGGCTTGCCAGGGTGCTCGGTGGCATGGCCATGCTTTCTCAGTTGGCTAGGGATCTCCGCGATTCTTGCGGCTAAGGAGTTTTAGGATGACTCTGTGTCTTCTTGATTTTGGACGCCAGCCCCAGGGACTTTGGTCGAATTTGTCTCTTCGTTAGTGCAGCTTTTGGCACCTCCTTCCTGATTCCTTGGGAAACCCGCCCATGCGCTGGGGCTCCTAGGAAAGGTGCGGATGGTAGGTTTGGGTGTGCCTGGGCATCGTCCGACTTGCACACCTGAGAGCCAGGCTTACCAGGCTTACGCCTTGCCCCAATCGTCTGTAGTCTGAGGACTTGTGCTTCCGGGACATCCTGCCTCATCCCCTAAAGGGCTGCGGAGGGAAGGACTCCTTTGGAGGCCAAAACCCATCCTTGAGGCTTCTTCGACTTCGCCCCGGGAACCCCAACAAAAAGTTAGGATCCCTTTCTCGGCCCTTTTGCCCCCATACACCCTAAAAAGGACGGAGGTCGCTGAATCCCTTAACTCCCTAAACTCCCTCAACTCCCCCTTTTGCAACGGGCTTTTAAGTCCGCCCGGCTTGAGGGTGCAACCACCCTAACCCCCCAACCCCGAAACCCTAAACCCTAAACCCCAGACCCTAAACCCCAAACCCCTAAACCCTAAACCCCAAACCCTAAACCCTAACCCCCCCCAAACCCCAAACCCGAACCCCCAAACCCTCGGCCTTGCTTCTGCTGCGCTTCGGGGAGGCCGATGATCGCACGAAGGCCTCAGCTTCCTGCGAGGGGGGGGGGAAGGGGGGGGGGAAGGGGGAGGGGGGGGAAGGGGGGGGGTTTAGGGTTTTTTTGCCACCCGCCTAGCTGACCCCCTCTGAGATCACTCCGCAGGGAACAATCGTGGTCTCTCGTGGTTTAGGGTTTAGGGCTTAGGATTTAGGGTTTAGGGTTTAGGGTTTAGGGCGTGCCAGACGGGAGCGCGCTTTGGGAGCGCGCGGTAGTCTGCAGACCTACCCACCCCAAGACCGCCCACTTACAACTCTCAAGGAGTTAAGACCTTTTATTTTTTTACAAAGCATCACATGAGTCAGCACTCACGCCCTTTCTGGGGATTTGCACAAGGTGCGTGGACCAGGCGCAAAGCTGCAGCAGACGGAAACGAGGCAGGGTCCGTGAAGACAGCTTGGGCTGGCGCGAAGGGGCTAAGGGATGGGCCAGGAACGGAGAAAGGCAGCGATGGCGCGAAGGGGCTCCAGCCAGGAAGAACACACAGTGAACAGCTTGGGTTGGGCAGAGCGCCACGGAAGCAGGGCTGGAGCCAGAGGGAGAGCGCCCCGAAACAGGACACAAACTGGTGCGCGGACAGCTTGGCTTGGCGCAAGGGGGTAAGATGACTCGAACAGGCCAGAGGCCAGGGCCAGAGCCGCAAAACTGGCGCACGGTCAGAGGATCAGGGTCAGGCCAGGGCCAGGGCCAGGGCCAGTGCCAGGGCCGGTCAGGGTCAGGCAGAGCCAGGGCCAGGGCCAGGGCCAGGGCCAGGAGACCAGGAGGCCAGGGCCAGGGCCAGAGGGCAGGGCCAGCCAGGGCCAGCACCGGGAGGGCCAGTACCAGCCAGGGCCAGGCCCAGGGCCAGGGCCAGGGCCCGGGCCAGGGCCAGGGGCCAGCCCAGGGCCAGGGCCAGGGCCAGGGCCAGGGCCAGGGCCAGGGCCAGGGCCAGGGCCAGGGCCAGGGCCAGGGCCAGGGCCAGGGCCAGGGCCAGGGCCAGGGCCAGGGCCAGGGCCAGGGCCAGGGCAGGGCCAGACACAGAACCAGGACCATTTTTGGCCAGAGCCCTGCCTGCCCCAACAAAACGGCCCCTGGTCCCCTCAGCCCAGCGGACGGGGGGTGAGGGACCAAGGGGTCTCAAGGGGCCGTCCCAGGGGGCCCTCCAATGCAGGACCCAACCAAATACGCGGATGATACAGGGATGATACAGTGACAACTGCTGACTCGGCCTGTGCCTGCCTGGAGGGTAAGCCAGCCTGGAGGCCAGCTCGGTCGCCCGCCTGGGGCTCCCTCGCAGGGTCTCACTGAGCGCTCGACCAGCGCCCGCCTACCCCAAAAGACCAGAGAGTGGGGTGGCGGGCGGGCTTGGGTTTCGGGTTAGGGTTTAGGGAAATGGGGTTTAGGGTTTAGGGCCGAGGGAGACAAATTGAAAACGGGAGTCGCAGGAGAACAGAAAATAAATGCAGGATAGAAGCATGGACCGATATGACACACGACAAAAAATATGGGATGATGTGATGATAGGTATGAAAACCTATACAGATACAACTATACCCAAGCATGCTACCCAATAATATAATGACATGTGAAGAACATCATGGACCGCACTGCAGGTTGCCAAACGGTCCATCTTGAAAGCCTTGCCTGGCCGAAACCTCTCGTCAGTAGTAAGGTGTTGAGAATGCTCTCACTCAGGAAAAGAAAGTCAGATCACTTTTCGGAGGCAGGGGGGGGGGGGAGCCTCACGCGTTGCACAGTGGACTCTTCCTCGGGATTCGGGTTGAGGCTCTGGCACTGTGATGTTCTGCGCTGCACGGCTTCGAACCAAGCGATCACACGTCCCCTCCTGCTCGCTGTGGAACCCTTTGAAGCGTGCCCCAGGAAAGCCAGCAACTTGCTCGCTGCAGTCCTGACATGGCAGAAGACCGATTCGGGTTTGGGATGGTTCGGGCTTGATGCAAAAAGGGCTCTCAGAAACCGAAGCCGCTATGCCCATTTTGTGAGTTAGGGGTTTTGTTTGGGAGAAGATGGTCAAGTCAAGCTGCCAAGCGCAAGCCAAAAGCCGCTTTTTGCATAGGCTTGCCAATCCCGGTATTGTAGTCTCCTCTTTTCTGAACCCAGACTCAGACCGCCAAGCCATTGCGCAGCCCAGCAGCACATGACCCTAAGCCCAAAACCGTAAGCAACCCGTTTACCCCCAATCTCCAAGCACTCCCGGCAAGTGCTAGCGGACAGGATAAGGGGGACCCTTGGGGATGTAGACCCTCTGAATAAGGTCCCTGTTTAAGAGAGCCAGAAGAGGGTTAAGAAGGGTTCCCTTTTTAGGGGTTCCCCCTTATCCTACCTAGTGCGGCCACAGGTCCATCCATTTGCGGTAGACACCCGGAGCGCGGCCGCGCTGGACCGCGTAGAAGGCAAACCCCCTGAGAGGCGCAGTGTAACCCCCAATCTTCCGTGAGTTCCAGTAGGGATTGGGTTTAGGGTTTAGGGTTTGGGGTGATTGCTGGGAGCTTGAGGGGATCCCCTTTGGTTCAGTCCTTGCTTGAGCAACACCTGGCTGATAGATTGGCATACAAACAGCAACGTAGAAAGGAGAGAAAAAGGAGGATGCAAAACTAGATGACAGATTGTGGCGGCCTGTGAGTGGCTGAGTGTTGCGCCTTGCCATGCCCCTTTGAATCGTGCGTAGCCCAGCTTGCTTTGTAACAAGTTCCATGTGCATTACTATACATCATTTGCCTAGACAGAGCGTTTGTCGAAGGCCTTTCCCAGCTGACTTCAGGAGTCTGGGTGGGTGTTTAGGGTTTAGGGCTTAGGGTTTAGTACTTAAGGGATATTGGGGCCTCTGAAACGGCTGTGTATGGAGGGCTTCTGGACATGCATGGCTCAAAGAATGCGGAGAGCATCGGGATAAAATCAGAACTGCCAAGCGGCTGCTTCGCGCCCATGGTGACCTTGCCCCGGCGCGCTTCCTCGCAATTTATGAAGGCAACACTTCCGAGACATCTCTGAGTCCCCATGAGAAGCGGGGGCTTCCCAAAACCAGGGTGCCGAGCCGATTTTGAGGCTCAGGACATGTTGTCTAACTCTAAGTTCAACAGCCCCCCAAGTTCCACGCTCTCTAGAGATCCCCCCTGAAGCCCGAGGCTTCAGACTCCTCCACCATCCTTTGACCAGCCAAGCCTCTCTCCCCCCAACCAAAACACAGGGGGTGTCCCTTTCTGGGGTCCCCCTATATGTAAGGCTCTGCACTAGCATGGGGTCCCCAAAACAAAAAGAAGGACCATAATTCAGAGGACCTCCCCCCTTGGGATGTCCTCCCTCGTACTAACAGTCCTTAATGGGGATGATAAGGACTGTTAGCACAAGAGGGAACATCTTAACATGAACCCGAAATTTAAATCCTAAACCCTAAACCCTAACCCCTAGAGATAGCGCCGAGTAAACCCTAACCCCTAAGGAACTGTTAGTAAAAGGGGGGAACATCCCAAACATCCCCAAACACAACCCTAAACCCTAAACCCTAAACCCTAAACCCTAAACCCTAAACCCTAAACCCTAAACCCTAAACCCTAAACCCTAAACCCTAAACACAAAGACCAAAAAAGGCCGAGACTCGAAGCAGCCGAGAACAGCCGGCAAAGCGAGCCGGGGGAGTCGACTGCAAAGGTCAGGGTGCTCCTGTGGTTTCCGTGTTCACGGTTTAGGGTTTAGGGTTTAGGGTTACTTAGGGTTTAGGGTTTAGGGTTTAGGGTTTAGGGTTTAGGGTTTAGGGTTTAGGGTTTAGGGTTTAGGGTTTAGGGTTTAGGGTTTAGGGTTAGGGTTTGGGGTTTAGGGCTTAGGGCTTAGGGCGTTTTTGAGTTTAGGGTTTAGGGTTTTTTCCAGTGGTTTCGGATGTTCGGCTCTCACACTAGCAACTGCTGGCAAGGAGCGGTTTCGGAATTTAAGGTCTACGGGCTAATCGCTCACACTCGGACAAGCCGGGCTTAGGGTTCAGGGTTTCGGGTTTCGGATTTCGGGTTTCGGGCTTTAGTTGGGCTCGAGCTGATCTTCTCGGAGATTCTAAGCTCTCAGCTTAGGTTGGATTTCGGGCTTTCGCTGCTGCCTGCGGCTTTTACTCCGGATTGCTTGCCGGCATCGTGTAAGTTGTAAGCCAGGTTCTCCGAAACCCTCCTCACACCAAACCACAACCCTGCCTCCCCTTAAGCCATTGTGCGCCCTTAGTTTGGGGCAACCTCCGAACCTCGCGGAAGGTCCCGTGAAGCGCTGTCCGCGGCACCGCAGCCGATCCTCCAGGTTTCAACGCATGCGGATGGGGTGCCTAAACCCTAAACCCTAAACCCTGGGCACATGGGCCGCCCTTAGGGCTGCGTTTAGCGTGGAGCGGGTAACCCAAGCCTACAGCCCAAACCACACAAAAACAGACAAGCATTCCGCATTCCTGATCTGACCCCGGTGCAATCCCATGTCTCAAGATCCTGCCGCACGGAAAAAAACAGCAATGCAGCACGGAGCATCCCACTTAGCATCTGTGCCCTTCGCCTGAATGGATTCATATGCCGAAAAGCAATAGAGGCCGATAACCCTACTGATCACCGTGTTTTCCTAGCGGCCAGGTCCCAGTAAGTGGCAAGGGAAGCGGATTCAGACGTTGCGATGGAAACCAAACGATGCCGTAGAGCCATAGGCTTAAGGACGAGCTTGTTCACAAGCCCAAGGCCCGGAAACATCACCTAAACTTCCAGTCTAGGGCGAAGGCCCAACCCTTCCGCATCCCCTGAACTTGTCACACAAGACGGCGCTTGAAAATTGTCGAGTTCTGTGCGCCGCGCGCCTGGGACTGAAAAGTCTGCGGCTTGAGCTGTACAACTTCGAGAGCACCTTTTGGTGCCTTCGCTCTTCACGGCCACCCACTTCACTCCACGTCCTCCAGGGCTGCGCTTGGATTCTGAGACCGGCTTCGCAGCACGGCCGCTGCCAGCAGGGCCAAGGCAGCAAAGGCAGCACAGCCCAGGGCCAGCGAGCCCGGGGCCGACGCAGCCGCGGACGTGCGGAGGCGCGGCAGCGTGGCGTCGCTCAAGCGCTGGATGGGTAAGCTTTGTGCCGGACACTTCTCCTGCAAGCACTTCTTGGCCGGTGCCAGGTCGACACCGCCATCAAGATACTGCTTCTCAACGTAGGCAACATCCGTGGCGGCACAGTCCAGGTGCACGTTCTCACAGCCCACGGTCTCAATAAGCCGGGCGGTGGCCCACATGCAAATGCCTGGCACAACCCCAGGACCCAGGACCCGAGCATCCCAGTGACCCCTAAGAAGTTGCACAAAGCTCAGCATTGAAATTTGACATGCTCCCCCCCCTAATGCCCTAATGCTACTAGCAACAGTCCCGTCCTTTATAGGGGTTCTAGTACCCCTACCCCCCCCCCCCCTATTTTTGGAATCCCATGTAAGGATCCCAAAGCATGAATCAAGCCCCGAGGTGCACCAGCTGTCCCCATGGTTGGCCCGGATCTCGTCGTCCCACTGGAAGGCCTCCTGGCCGGTGATCTGCCAGAAGTTGCCCTTTGCAGGGAGCCCCCAGACTGCTCCGGACTTAACTGCCCAGAAATTCCTAGGGTAACTAGAGGTTGGGCATTTTTTATAGGCATCCTGGTACCCAAAAAAAGGTGTGAAAGGTTACCCTACTCTCTACTACTCCGACCAATACCCCAAAAAAGGTGTTTTTCAGGCTACCCTACGCTACTGCTTCTCTACTACTCCGACCTTCTGGCCCCAGTCCAGAGGCTGCCCCTGGCCATCAAGGAGCGTGGCGCAGACCCGATGCGTGGGGTCGTGGTTGCACTTGAAGTCCCCATATCGGGAGCCTCGTGTGAGGGCGCACGAGGTCCGAGGAAGTAACTCTACGACTGCACTGCCTGCCCGGGGCCTTCTCTGCACCCTTGCAGAAACGACCCTAAACCCTACACCCTAAACCCTAATTATCCCTAATTAAACCCTAAAAACACTTAACCCTGAACCCTAAAGCCACAGGAGTCCTAGGAAGCTTGGTGCAGGGGAGCCTTCACCCGGGCAAACGGCGACATCTGCAGCCACCGCCACACCGGCCATGCAAGAGAACGCCACAAGGCGCGCCATGAGCACCCGGCGAGAGGAAGGAGGAAGGGGGGTAACACGGGTAGCACTGGGGCTGCGGCTAAGGTGCCCGAACCTGAAAGCCTCAGATATACGAGCGCAGCGGAGGGCAGCTTCTTCACAAGCTTCGGTGCACAGGGTCGCTGAGGGAGTGTGGGGTGGAGCTATACTCCCCTTGGAACCTCAATAAAAATAGTATGTTTAATATCCCCTTGAGTCTTATGTAAACAAAAGTAAAAGAACAATTCCCAAGAGGGATATAGGGAGTGGTAGCGGCCAGGGCCTCCGTGCGCGAGATGTGCGAGGCCGCGAAGATGGACGGGAAGCCGGGACAGCCGCATCGCCATCGGGCCCCGGGGTTCAGCCTACCCCTAAACCCTAAACCCTAAACCCGAAACCCTAAACCCTAAACTCTACCCGCCGAAGACAAGCCAGAAAGGATGTGGTCATAGAATTCAACGATTCAACATTAACCAAACTATGAAATATGCTCATGAAATGATAGCAGTTTCCAGGCAGGAATCAGGATGTGACGGTGTGACGATCGCGGCCGAAGCCCGCAGCATAAAAGCACTTCGGGTCCTACACCTCCGTCGCAGTTCGTCCCATTACCACGTACTCTCTTTAGTGTCGCCCTGGCAAAATCACGCACCACCCACAGCGATTCAAGCTTTACCCCTACCAAGACGCAACCAACTCGTCCGAGCTCAGCACGCCCGTTGATGGGAGGACTGCTGATCGTGGGCACGTTTCTCCCGCCTGCCGGACTCCGCACCCGGGTGAGGTACTTTGAGCTTGGAGGTCTTCTCGGCTGCCGCAGTAGGCAGCGGGTTCCAAAACAATTCTTCTGCAGACCCCTCCTTTGTTCATGGTCGTTTGGACGGAAGGCGATCTCAGCCCTTGAGCCCTGAACTTCTACCGTGCAGCCCTCAGATTTATGAGAACCTCAAGAGCTGATGGAAAAAAACCGGGTTTCTCTATGCCATTCTGCTGAGAGAACCCCAACCCACCCCCCAGACCCTAGACCCTAGACCCTAAACCCTAAACCCTAAACCCTAAACCCTAAACCCTAAACCCGAAACCCTAAACCCTAAACCCTGTGGGCGCCTTGTGGCTGGGGATGTACCTGGGGCCAACGAGCTTTGAGGACCCTGAGCCGCTCCTTTGGGGCTTTGGGCCACTGTAATTTCCTTCTTCAAACTAGGGCAGGCTTAGGGTTTAGGGTTTAGGGTTTAGGGTTTAGGGTGTAGGGTGTAGGGTTTAGGGTTTAGGGTTTAGGGTTAAGAGTGTTCCGTGTTCCTCTGGGCTCTCTCCAGAAAAGAGAACAGAATTCAAACTCGAGCACTCCAGCCATTTATGCTTCTTGCACCTCCACAGAAAATGTATAAGACGCTTCTGGGTCATAGGGCTTCTTGGTCTAGAAGGCTCCCTGCAAAAGGCTCCAGGTTCCGGGTTTGAGGAGTTTTTGCGCGAGTTCGGAGTTCAGTGCATTAGAGGCTTCTGAGGGTCTTGCTTTTGAGGGTTTCTGCAAGCACTCTCGGCAGCAGCAGGCTTAACGCTAGTGCTTTTGAGGGTTTAGGGGTTAAGGTTTTGTTCTTCAGGGCTGAGGGGATCAGAGTCAGCGGGAGGACGGGCTGAGATGGATTTAGGGCCCAGGGTCGAGGTTTGGTCCTGCAGCGTTTGCACAACGCGTGCCGCTTGGTGTGTCAGCTTGAGGGTTTCGGGTTGAGGGTTGGGGCTTCCATGGCTTCCTCGACTCCGACACCACCTAAACTCCCTCCTACCGGTTCTGAGCAGAGGGACATCGTCCCTCTTAAGAAGACAACGGCCCCTCACCTCCTCCCAAAGGCCCAACTAAGAGCATGGGGGCCCGGGCGGTCCGAAGGCTCATGCCCAAGGGATCCGGCTCCTCATCCTCGCGGCATGCCATGGATCAAGGCCATAGCATTGCTGTTTACTTCTCTATGCTGAAATCTGATTTGTGATATTATATCATTTTACTTTGTACTTTTTTATGGATTTAGAGAAGGTATTCAGGATTCAAGTTGTGAGCTTGACTGCAGCTCTAGCGGCTCCAGCCTGCTGGACGCAACTTCCCCAGCTGGAACAGCAACCGATGTGTCTTTTCGCTGGCTCAAGACAAGCCAGAGGGCAGTCTGCCAGAGAGTCCGCTAGGAGATGAAAGGTGAGGCTGCCAAGTGGCAGTGGGAGGTTGCTTGAAGGCTGTTGTGTTGGGGGGACAGGGAGCAATGCTGGGCACTCCATGTGGTGACCATGGTGACCATGTTGACCATGCGTCACACGCCCCGGCAGCTGACCTTGGCAGAGGTCTCCAGTGCGGAAAGCAAAGCCTCGAACTTCAGCACTCCGTTCTTTGGAGTCCTGCAGTCACGGCATGTCACAAAGCTATAGCGCCCGCCGAACATCTTCGTGAGGGAGCAAGTCTCGGAAGGCCCACCTGGCGAAGTCTCAAGACGAGAGCAACCCACCCTCTCTGCCAAACTTACCTGTGACTTTAGAAACAAGCCTGCAAAAAACAGGAGGGCTCCCAAAGAGGTACCGTTTGGCACAGAACACCTATCGGCATGATCTCCACGATCCGTTGCTGCAGGGCCTCGTTGAGCCACCGGGCCGCGTTCCAAGCGGCCCCACCATGCGCGGCAATGATCGTGTTCGCGAGGCGGATCAAGAACACTTGGTCCAGGTAAGGGACAGGCCCCACGTTCACATATAGCACCGTGTGCTGGGGGTATCGCTTTGACAGCTGAGTTGCAAGGTCCAGGCCATTCGAGACGCCGCGATTCTTCCGGCAGTCGTCGGAAGGGAAGGAAACACCATGGCAAGTACGGGGTATTCTCGACAGCCACAAGTAGAAATTCGACTGCTCGGCATCGATTTTGCACGCTTTCGCGTTGAAGAGATGCAGAGAGTACTCCGCCGAAACCTTCTGCAGGAAGCTGCAGGCATCACCGTAGCGCTCCGGATCACGCCGCCACTCCGACTCGAAGAATGGAATGGCCGCCTGAGGGTCAGGGTCAAGGCTCCTGCAAGTGTGATGGGCCTCCCTTTGAGATCACATGAAACATAACCCTTTTGCACCAACCCTAAATAAACCCTAAACCCTAAACCCAACAAGAGACTTCCCAAGACACCATTTGATGGCCAAGCAGTATGGGATTTCGCCCTTCGCAGAGGCCCGGTTGATTGAACCTCGTCCAGTGAGGCCCAGTCATTCCAGCAGGGCCAGTCACCAAAGTCCCCACGGGCTGCACATAGGCCTCTGACTTCAGGCTCAAAGTCGGAAACTCAGGCATGTGAGAAGCGGTGATGACCTCTGAAGCAAGCGCTTTCCAATCTTCGAAAAAATGAGGTCGACCTGGGTTGCGCGCTCCGTATCTGGAGGTCCCAAAGCCAATGTAGAGGACCACTCTGGTGTCTTCGCGGCCGAAGGTTGTGGGCAGCATATGCTGCACGATGAACAGGTTGTCTTGGTCAGCTTGGCAATGGCCGGGATTGCCAGTGTTGCAATCGCCCGTGGACAAGAACGTCAGGCCTTCCCGAGTCGTGGCATTCTTTCGGGCTTTCCACTGTAGGGACGCGACGACGTGGTCGGCAAGATCCGCGTTGCCAGGGATGCTCTCCACGATTGTGATCGCCTTGCTCAACTGCTTGGCTCCGAGCTCCCTTCGAATGTCTAGGTTAAGCAACGGATGTTTTGGAGAGAGCTCATTGAACAAGAGCCTGCGATCCACCTCTTTCTGCAGGAAGCATTGGGCGACCCAACGCAAAGTGCCTTGCGGAGCCAATAGTTCCACGATGTTGTGGAACTCGCACACGTAGACTTTGGGCGAGGGGAGTTGGCGGACGCAAGTTATTTTGGAAACCCCGCCGCTGCAGAGCGTAATGCTGCGCGCTTGCAGCTTCTTCCAGCGATGCATTCCCAAGTGCTCTTCCTCGCATTGCCGGAATGGTGGCAATGTCTGTGCCGTGAACCGAAACCGATCGGAAGGTCCCAGTGGCTGCCACGACACCGCAGGCACCCGCACCCGGGCATCCCCTCCGATCGCGCTAGGCTCGTCCACCAGTGGCCTCTGAGTCGTCGTTGCGGAGCTTGGGTTGACATGCTCCACCGGCTCACTCGGGCGGCCATTCTCGCCCAACATATCCGGCAGCACAAACTCGATTTGTGTAGTGGTGAGAGTGGTGGCAGTGGTAGCAGCGGCAGTAGTGGTAGGAGCGGTGGCAGTGGTAAGCGTGGCGACAGCGGTGGCGTCTGTAAAAGGGTCCACGGACCCAACGGAGGTTGGGGGAGGGCTTCTTCCTGGCAGTGGGTCACCTGGGCCGGGTGATTGAACCCACGAGCCCATGGTCGCACCAGTGGTTGTGATGGGGCTAAAGCGGCTAAACTGTGCCTCTGGAGCAGGGGCCGCAGTTGGTGCAAGGAACTTCTGTCGGATGGAGGGGCGGAATGTGGAGGACAAGAAGTACGCGCAGACAAAAGCCTCGGGCCCGTTAGGAACCAAACCCCGGTTGAACCTTCTGGCGCCCATCTGACGCTAAAGCCGCTTAAGCTCGTAAGAAACTGAAATACAAAAAAATGAGAGGACATAAATGTGACCCACCTCCAGGCTGCTGAGAAGCTGTTGCCGGCAGGACGACACCGGCGGCGATCTTAAAGCAACGCCGCATGGGGTGTCTTCATCGTCGGGGGCAGCAGAACCCAGACGCGCCGGTTACTGGGTTGCGATATGGACCCGTGAAGCTAATCAACATAATCAACCTTCAGGGCTTAATAAGGGTTTTTGGATGTTCTTTGCGAGCCCCCTGCCGCTTGAGCCACGGACGCCAGACGGGAGCCCTGGCCTTACGCTACCGCGTGGGCATCATGGGCATCACGTGGGCGCCTGCACGGCTGCGGTTACAGATCTCCCAAAGCCCCAATGCACGCCAGAGCCAGAACCCACGCAACGCGCTTTGAATTTTTTTCCTTGTAGTGATGAGGCTGGGGAATTTGTAGAGCGACAGGGTCCACACACTGAAGCTGTCTAGGTGAATTCTCAAAACCACTCCCTTTAACTTCCATGCACCCTCAACCCTAAACCCTGAACCCTAAACCCTAACCCCCTTGAACAACCCGCCCAAGCCCGGCCCCAAACGCCTGAAGAGCAAGCCCAAATTTGTCAGCCGCGGTGTAAGCTATCAATCCAAACACTTGTGCCCTCATCTACCCTGTTTTGATCCCCAACTTCCTCGAAATGCGAAAGCCCTCACTCCCAGGTGCCTCAGAACACGAGCCATGCAACCAAAAAAAAAAAATAGCGGCGGAGGCACTCCAAGCATTCCAAAGCCTCCACTTCATCCACTCGCAACCCAGGCTCAGGCACAAGGCGAACTTTTGACAGCACTCACCACATCTCATGGCAGCCGCGCTGCCAAGAGGTCTGCAATACGGCCTCTAAGTCCTCGAACTTCAGCTCCCCATTCACCGGAGACTTGCAGTTGCGACACCCGATGTAGTTGTAGCTCGCACCGAACATCTTCGCCAGAGAACACGTGTCGCCTGGCCCACCTGACGGCAAGGACCGAAACCCTTTTTTAAGGTGCCCCTGTTCATTCTTTTTGAAAGAGTAGGCGGCCTCAAAGCAATGACTATCCGCAAGCACATTGCAAGCACTATACGGAGCCGACCTGCCGTCAGGATCTCGACGATCCGTTGCTGCAGGGCCTCGTTGAGCCACCGGGCCGCGTTCCAAGAGCCGCCACCGTGTGCAGCAATGATCGTGTTGGCGAGGCGGATCACGAACACTTGGTCAAGGTAAGGGACAGGCCCCATGTTCACATATAGCAGCGTGTGCTGGGGGTATCTTTTGGACAGCTGAGTTGCCAGGTCCAGGCCATTCGAGACGTCACGGTTTCTGATGCATTTGTCTGCAGGCACAGTCGCGTCGTGGCAACCACGGGGCATTCTCGAAATCCACAAGTAAAAATTCGACTGGTTGGCATCTATTTTGCAAGCTTTTGCGTTGAAGAAATGCAGAGAATATTCCGCCGAAAGCTTCTGCAGGAATCGGCAGGCATCACCGTAGCGCTCCGGATAACGCCGCCACTCGGACTCAAAGAATGGCACGGCCGCCTCCCGTCGGGGCGTCAGGAGGGTTCACTCGTTATCAATCTCAACCCGTGGACTTTGAGGTACGAGGTCTAAAAATGTACCTGTGAGAGATTAAAAGCCCAAGAGTCCATTTGATGGCCAAGCAGTACAGGATTTCGCCCTTCACAGAGGCCCTTTTCGCTGAACTTGGTCCAGTGGGGCCCAGTCATTCCCTTGGGGCCAGTCACCAAAGTCCCCACGGGCTGCACATACGCTTCTGACTTCAAGCCCAAGTCTGGAAAGTCCTTCATGTGAGACGCGGTGACGACCTCTGACGCCAGCGCTCTCCAGTCTTCGTAGAACGGGGGCCAACCTATGCTATGCCCGTAGAAGGAGTTTCCAAAGCCAATGTAGAGGACAACTCTGGTGTCTTTCCGGCTGAAGGTTTTGTGCAGCATATGCTGCACGATGAACAAGTTGTCTTGGTCAGCTTGGCAATGGCCGGGGTTGCCGCTGTTGCAGTCGCCCGTGGACAAGAACGTCAGGCCTTCCCGAGTCGTGGCATTCTTTCGGGCTTTCCACTGTAGGGACGCGACGACGTGGTCGGCAAGATCCGCGTTGCCAGGGATGCTCTCCACGATTGTGACCGCCTTGCTCAACTGCTTGGCTCCGAGCTCCCTTCGAATGTCTAAGTTCTGGAGAGGATGTCTAGGAGCAAACCCTTTAAACAGTGATCTTCTGTCCACGTCTTTCTGCAACTTGCAGTGGGCGACCCAGCGCAAGGTGCCCTCGGGAGTCAGAACTTCCACCATGTCGTAGAACTGGCAAACGTAGGCTCTGGCCCCCTTGAGCTCGCGAGCGCAAATAATCCTTGAAGCTCCGCCGCTGCAAAGCGTGACGTTGCGTGCCTGCAGCCGCTTCCAACGAGTTGTTCCCATCGTCTCCTCCTCGCAAGTCCGGAATGGTGGCAGCGTCTGTGGGGTGAATCGATACCGGTCTGAAGATCCCACGGGCAGCGACGACACCAAAACCTCCGGTTGGCTCTGTGTCGTCTGCGTTGCGGGGCCCGGGCTTGGGATCGTGAAATTTGTTGCATCAGGCGGAGCTTCAGGAGCAGCCTGAAATATCAGATCCAGGCTCATGATCCTCTGCGGAACAAGCGACCGGCCGAGTCTTGTAGAGAAGCAGAAGGCAGACACCAAAGCCTGTTGATCCGGAACCAAAGAACCCTTTAAGAGCCGTTGTTGTTGACGGCTGGAAGCCACAGAATGTCAGAGCAATCGCCCCACGTCACAAAATCCATAGAAAAAACTATACCGAGGAAAACCCAACTACCCAGGAACAAACTCCCCATCATGCACATATCCGCCTCCACACTGAAGTCCACAAGCCAAAAGAAGAAGCCCCAAGAGGTTCGGTTTCTGAGGCCTCTATGGTTTAGGGGTGTTTGGGGGGTTTACAGGGAGTACTGGGAGGTCCATGGGTCGTTGTAAGAAGGGTTCTAAGAAGGGCAACTATAGGGCTTAGGGGCTGGACCAGGCCCAACGCCTAAACCCTAAACCCTAAACCCTTTTCAACGAGGGCTCTCTCAAGCCCTAAACCCTAAACCCTAAGCCCGAAACCCAACACCCAAACCCTAAACCCTAACCAAGGGCCTAGGGTCTAGGGGGCAGCTGCTGAAGACTGCCAACAAGAGGCCGCGGCAGCTATGAGCGTCACAGCGGCATTCTTGAGGGCCCAGCCCATCAGCGGCACAAATACTGAGGCCACTTCAAATTCCAGCGCGGGGGGGGAGCAAGGGTTTAGGGTTTGGGGTTTGGGGTTTAGGGCTTCGGGCCCAGGGTTTAGGTTTCAGGGTTTAGGGTTGAGGGTTTAGGGTTTAGGGTTGAGGGTTGAGGGTTGAGGGTTGAGGGTTTAGGGTTTAGGGTTTGGGGTTTGGGGTTTGGGGTTTAGGGTGAAGGGTTTAGGGTTTAGGGTTTAGGATGGTTTAGGGTGCAGGGTTTCGGGTTTAGGGTTGCTGTTGGTGTTGTTCTGGTTGTCAATGCTCGTCTTTGGATCTGGAGTCGACAATGCACGCATCTTAAACTCACGAATGTTGCAAGGCCCTCAGCTCCGATCCGAATGCCGCATGCTTTGTGCAACGCTTGACGCTTGACAGCAGAAGAAGGTGTGGAGCTCATATGGCGTTGCCAACGCCAAGCAGGCAAGTTCACAAGCATAGAATCGCATAGAAAACAGTGGCTATAGGTAACTGCAGCCATCGCGGCAGCAATATGGGAAGACTCAGTAATCGTGGTGGCAACAACGGCGGTGGTGGGAGAATTCCCAAAGCTCCAACAACATCCAAAACATTTCCGCCCTCAAACCTCCGAAATCCTCCAAGTACAAGGCCCCTCCCAGCGAGTTCCTCTTCGGGCTCGCCGTCCGACGGCTCCTTCTGATGGTTTTTGACCCACATGAATTCAGGGCGCCAGTTTGGACTCGTCATACTATGAAGGCGGCGCGATGCTGCGCGGTTGGTTCTAGACACTTCTTGCAGTTTTCGGCCCGAGCCCTTGCAATGCCAACACAACCGGGGCCAGCTCAGGCCAAGGAATATCTCACAACTTTTGGCAAGCTCTCAGAGTTTGGGACGCCCCTCTTTTGGACCCCAAGAGAGCCAAGGCGCTTGGAGCACGCCGGAGAGCATCTGCTGGAGCAAGCCGCGGTTGGCACCTGGACAGCGCTTTTAAGGGAGTTGGGCGTATAGAGTTTGAGAGGATGCTGGGTTGCGACCGTTGGGCTGTTGTTGGGTTGGAGAGATCTTGAAGGGACTTTGAGGGGTGTGCAGCTTCCCCATGAAGCGCGTGTGGACGACCTTTCAAAACCCAAGCACTGGGGACCTGCGGGCATCCGCTTCCCAAGAACGACATGCCCATGCCCAAGGTGTGATTGAGGTCCAAGCAGGTCACCGTGCCCTCATCCTGCGCCTGCGTTTCCATTCGAGGGCACAGGGCGTGGATCAAATGAGTAGTTTTTTTCATCTTCTTCGTCTGTCAGCAAGAGAATTGTCCAGGATTTATGACATCCAACAGAAACATTGGGGAGCTTGCTCCCAGGCGGGCAACTCTGAACCCAGGAAAAGGGCCAAGCGCACGCAACACGTTGCCTGGGCTTCGGCCGGCGGAGCCTGGGCCTTAGTTCACCAAAAGGGGTGAAGGGTTTGGGGTTTAGGGTTCAGGGTTTGGGGTTTTGGGGGTTTTAATCGCTTTCGGACAAGCCAGCCAGGAGGGTTTAGGGCCTATGAGGTTTGTGGGACTCTTGCATGCTTCTCTTGCCAGATCGGATGGCAGTCTTCTTCTTCTTCTTCTTCTTCTTCTTCTTCTTCTTCTTCTTCTTCTTCTTCTTCTTCTTCTTCTTCTTCTTCTTCTTCTTCTTCTTCTTCTTCTTCTTCTTCTTCTTCTTCTTCTTCTCTTCTTCTTCTTCTTCTTCTTCTTCTTCTTCTTCTTCTTCTTCTTCTTCTTCTTCTTCTTCTTCTTCTTCTTCTTCTTCTTCTTCTTCTTCTACTACCGGGCATGGAGGACAGGGCCCTTGTGTCACGGCCTTCGTCGGCGTGAGACCCGGAAAACACAGGAGGTGCAAGATTTTCCCCAAGGGTAGGGGTCCTTCCCCCTATGCTCGCTCTCTCTCTCTCTCTCTCTCTCTCTCTCTCTCTCTCTCTCTCTTTGCAAGAATGCAGTAGGCCCCCGAAGGGGTCCAAGGCTCTTGCTTGCTTGCTCTCTCTCTCTCTCTCTCTCGCTCTTTCTGTCTCTGTGTTCGACACTCAGCCTACGTTCGCCGCGTCTGCACACGCCCATCTTTTCTTGCGGGGTGCTGCTGGCTGCGCACGCCAGAGAAAAGTTGCAATTTCTGTTGTTGGCTGTCGCACAGCAGCCAGAGCGCAGGTAGGTCCAGCTCAGCTGAAGGGCTTTTATGGCCCAGCTGTGCCCATGCAGCAAAGGCGGGCATTGTCACAATGCCAAAACTACAAATGTGTCTGTGCAAAGTGTGCGAAAACTGTACTCAGTTTCTCAGGCTGCGACGCCTCAGTTGGGTCACCAGCATGGTGGCCGCTGCCGTGGTGATCAGCAGGAAAACCACGCCGCGGCGCTCATTAAAAGCTCCGAGACCAAAACGCTCAGAAGCCGATGCCCACCATGAGCTTTCGAGCCGGAGCTCGGCACAAAGCCATGAAGCGCGCAAATCTCCTGGGATGGTCTGGCCTGGTGCCAGGATGAAGAGGTCCCCGGCCTGCAATTTGTCTCCACATGCACTTTTCAGGCACAAGTGTAGTGCCAGGCCGGACTTCTGAGACAGCACATCCCCCAAGGAGCCGTGCTGCACACGAAGAGCTGGTGAAACTCCTGCAACCCTCTTCCCCCGGAATGTCGAAGGCACTGCCGCAGAGACACGCTGCCACAGCCGATTGGCCAGCCAGGCGTCTTCGAGAACGAGCTTGCAGTGGGACCCACCGGCTCGATCCTGCTCTGCCGGGATGAATCCTAGCTTCTCGGCAGCAGACAGCACGGATGTGCACTCGGGCTCGCTGAGGGCACCGACAAACTCCCAAGCTCCGGCTTTCCCCCCGAGCTTACCTGAGCATGCGACGGTTGGACGTATTGGTTCATGTTGGGACACATGTGGGGACGCATGTGGGGACGCATCTGGGGACGCATGTGGGGACGCATGTGGGGACGCATGTGGGGACGCATGTGGGGGACGCATGTGGGGGACGCATGTGGGGGACGCATGTGGGGGACGCATGTGGGGGATGCATGTGGGGGACGCATGTGGGGGACGCATGTGGGGATATGTGGGGAAGCATAATATGTTGCGACTCGAACAAGAAGTATCCTGCACAACGAGAGCGAGCGGCTCGTGGGCGAAGGTTTGGGAGCTCCAGCAGTACCGAGGTTGTCGCGGCAGAGCTCGCTCAGCACCTTTGCTGTCGTCTTCCCTGCGGGGCTCTCCTTGACTGGGAACACACGTGAACTCACCAAAGCATTTGGGAAGAAAGCTAGACTCATGACCGGCTTTCGGGCTGCACTACGCTGCACTCCCCGGCCGTCCTCCGTCGACTGCACCGGTTGCGGCTGGGAGCTGGAACTCGCACCACCAGCCGCCACGTCCGCATCGCGCGTCACTGGCGAACTGGGGCCGCTTCCTGAAAGGAGTCCGGGCGTGACGGGTCCTGTCTTTGCCTGGGCCGCCGTGGGGCTGGGCTTGGAGTTCTTACCCTTGGACTTGGCCTTCGACTTTGTCATGGCGCCTGTCCACGCAGAGACGCCGGGAATGAACTCGGCGGCATCTGGCTTCAGAACCTTCGGCTCCGGCGGGCTCCGGGACGGCTGCTGGGGCCGGTAGTTGCTTGGGAAGGTCATCGCAGACGCCGGGACGATCACTGGGGCCGGCGGCTGATAGGCCTTCCAACCCAAGGCAAAGATCGGCAAAGGAGCAGCCAGAAGACTCAACGTAGCACAAGGAAATACAAGGAACATGGGAACGAAACATGGGAACAAAAAGCACATCGGCATGCACTCCCCAAACAACAAAACAACCGGTCCTCGGGCCACATGCCGGGCTTGAACTCTGCCGCATCCTCCCGAAGTGTCGACTTGGGCTCCTGCTGCTGGGAGCATCCCCCAATTCCCCAACGGAGTCTTCCAGGCTTTGTGTAACACAATCCTTGAACATGACTTCACATACTTCACCGTTATGCCTTCAAGCCTGATGCCGGCGTTCAAGGCCATGCACCTTTGGCCTGAACGATGCGGGGCCTCGGCCTTCGCATCCATCGGCGTCGACCACACCTGGCCCGGGACGAACTCTGCAGCAGCCTTGTTGAACTCCTGCCGCAGGCCATTGCAGGTGCAGGGTAGCAGGATGCAGCAGGGCAGGGTTTGCTGCTCAGGGCTCTGCATTTGAATGGGTCACGGCGCGTGACTGAAACCGTGTTTTACTTCTGAAGAAGCCGACCGAACCGCACGCCGTTGCAGCCAAGAAAGGAGTTGGCCCCTTTTGCATCCAAGCAACTCCTAAACTGATGAAGGGTGGAGGGGCGACGTGCTCGTTCGAAAGGGACAGGGTCGTTACAAAAGGCCAGGACGCCAGCAGCCAAATTTTGCAAAGCCAACCGACGGCTATTTCTTCAAGCCCGCCTTTGGGAGCTGCGGCATTATCACAAGTCCAAAGACAATATGCACAGCCCACCATACTCTGAAAGAAACAGATGCAAACAGCTGGCTCCTTCTTCGCGTTACTGACAGGCTGAGAGGTCTCCTGCAACACAAGAGCCAAGAAGACATTGTCGAGAAGAGCTTAAGTCTGAAGTGCTTGCTGGAGCCTTGCTGGGAGATGTCCCTTCAGGAGCTCCAGGTCTGATCTCACACAGAAGGCCCTGAAGAGCCCAACGCCATGAACTCTCCGACCCTGCAACTTCTGCAAGCGTAAATATTGCGTATTCAATGCATTCTACTACAGTGTGTAATACAGGGCGTCTGTACATATACATGTACATACAAGAAAAATAGCTCCTGCACAGAGGGCCGGCGCTTCTTTCGGCTGGAGCTCTCCTCGCCGCGGAGAGCGCGATGATCGCCCATCGGTCCAAGACTTGGGGGGGGGAGCAGTTATATATTATTGAATATATATATATATATATCTCTCATTTATTATATATTATATATTATATATTTTTGTTATATATTATATATTATATAAGGGGAATTCGAGCAGCTGGGTACTTCAACGGCTTTTGTTTACGGGCTTCGTCGTTGCTGGTCCCTTCGGCGTTTGTACTTTGAGGATTTGGGCATCAGGGATGATGTACACCCAGCAAAGTCCTTGGACTCTTTCATTGCATTGTAAGCCTCCTCGTCCACGCCTGGGCTGGCCAAGGGCTCCCCGAGAACGCGAAACATGTTTATCGGCCTTCAAGGCGGGGTTTTGGGGCAGTTATTTTCACTCAGTTTAGCCTAGGAGTGTTGACTGCAAGCTTCAGGCAGGCACAGCTGGAGCGATGCACGCTTAAAAGCTTGCAGGCTCGCGGAAGAGTAGGTTGCTCTTAAAGACAACCTTTTTTCCCCTTTTTCATCATCACGCAACCTGACCGAGGCATGGGGATCCTGGGTTCGTTTCTTCTTCACGCCGAGTGGCCGCGGAGCAGGGTGTACACGTAGGCGCGCCAGTTGCTAACTTTCTTCCGCTGCACTCCTGGTGGCCCAAGCCCGCTTAGGACAGTCTGCAGCCGAACAAGTTCAAGCAAAGACCTCCCTCGGGGCGTCCTTGAAGAGTGTTCTGCAGCACCTGACACGCCTGCATGCACTCGGGTGGTGAGGAGTTCCATACCGGCGCAGGCTACATGTTGCGGGCTCTGGCTTCGAGATGCTGTATTAAGAATCAAAGAAGTACTGCGTTGAAAAATCGTTAAAACTTCCTGTTGCGATTTGGTGATGCTGGGACTGCTGGACCAGTGACTCAGCAAGACTACCCGCGAGACGTCTCGCACACAGAACGGGTTGAGGTCGTTTCGTAAAAAGGCCGGCTGGAGTATCAGGAGGATGCTTGAGGCTACTCAGGCGCTGTTGACACCAAGGCCTCCAAGGCTCGCCCTTTCTCTTGCAGCACCTGGGAATGCAGCGCCGTGTCTTTCGGCCATGGAAGGTCTCCTAAAACGTGCAGAGAACCTTCCAAGCATACCAGAGCGTCCGCAACTTGGCCATGAGTTCAAGATTGAAACGGCAAGTACGAGCGTCTTCTGACAACAGTGGCCTGTAAACTAAGCTGCGCCCGAGGACCCCAGGCAAAGCGCCGCAGCTAGAGCAGGATCAGAACTCAACGTACAGTAACCTCTCGGTCCGATACAGTAACCTCTCGATCCGAAGCACTAGATGTACCGCCTCCCCTCCCCCTCCCCCCCACCAGCAGAAAGAACAGCCATGAAGAGTCCAAGCGGCATCAAGAAGGAGGATGGCCTGACAGTTGCAAAGAGCACGCTATGGCAGTTTGGGCTTGAGGTATCTTTAACCGCTCACACCCGAACAGTCCACAGCACCGCCCTGGCTCTATAGGTTCAAGCCGCAGAACCAGTAAAGAATCCCGAAACCCCAAAAAAGCAGTCTGATAAACATGGTCACGTCAGCTCACCATGAATACCCGAACCCCTAACCAAAGCGGCCTTCGGGTCGAAGTCGCCAGCTTGAACAGGGGTGTTGCGCAGGACCTGCCAAGGGCAGGCAACATTAGGCCGCTCGGTTTGGGTTTCGGTGCAGGCTTGGCGAATATGACCTGAGGCCGAAGCTCGCGGTGCTTTGGGGTTCAGGGTTGTGGGCATCTACCTGGGCCTACTCCGCGAAAGTCTCGAACAAACTTGTTTGGACCCGGCATCCCCATCAGCAGCCTGCACGATGCCACTCTTGTACTGCTTCTCCTCGACAGGCTCAGAAGCACGGCCGTCTACACCCGACTACCTGCCTACTTATGGAAGCCACAAGTAGGGTTATCACGGCCTACGAGTATGGTAATGATACATATAACCCCAATACAGGTTACTTCTAACCCTGCTTAGAACTACCCTAATGACCCTCCAAGGTAAGTCAAGAGGTATGGGATGGTGAGGAATGCTGGGTACAAGAGAGGGACCAGTGCCGCCAAGCTTCGGCCAAAGGTCCATCAAGGATTTCACTGCCTTTCGATTTGCCTTTCACCATACTGCGCAAACCCGGCAAAGGGAGCTCGTATCTTGAGCCACGCTGTGGGCAGGGGCAATGTGGAGATGCTGGTGCAAACCTGATATCTCAGGCTGCCGATACTGCGCACATGCCAGGTCTCACAAGCCACCTGCAACCAAAAAAACACCTTCAAAAGCAACAAACATGCGCCCGAGATGTCGGGTGCGCTGCCGCCTTGGGCGCAGCGCCGCGTCCACGCCCCGGGCCTCGAAAGATGATGAGATCCATGTCAGGGTGTCGGGCTGAGGTCTTATAAGAGTTGCGTTTAAAGGGGTAAAAGGAGGGACGCCTAGGATCCTTAACCTTATTCCCTAAACAAAACCCTATCTGTACCTTACATAGTTCCTATATACCGAAAAAAGAATAGTCTGTAAGGTCCCTTGTAAGGGTCCCTCCTTTAGTCCCTTGAAAGATGGTCTAGGGGTACCGGGTACCTCCTTCCTATGATGGCGCAAGGCCTCTGGGAGCGGGGAGCTGGCGGAATGTGCTGAGCCGGACCTAGAATCTCCAGAAGCTCCAACGTCAAAACTGCCCGGAGGAACATGTAACACCCAAACCAAAGCCCCTCTTAAAACCCCCCCACCCCACCCAGACTCAGAGCAGCAGGGACTACCAAAAGCCACAAACCCTTGTCAACCCTAAACTCTAAACACCCTGCACACCCCTGCACCCTACACCCGAACCATCCTAAACATCGTAAACACTCTAAACAACCTAAACACGCCTGAACACCCTAAACACCCCTAAACCCCCAAAGCCCCTTAACAACCCAAACCCAAGGCGGAGAAGCTTCCAACCCCGGCGCCTTTCACCTTCGGAGCGGCACCACGCCTTGGTTGTTGCTTTGTCTTTCAATCTGGGGCGCTTCGGGTCGCTTCGGTTCTAGGGTTTTTAGGGTTTTTAGGGTTTAGGTTTAGGGTTTAGGTTTAGGGTGTGGGGTGTTCCGGGTTTAGGGTTTCGCGGGTTTCGGGGGGGCTTGAGGACTACAAGATCGTTAGAGGGCTTCAAAAAGCCTTAGGCCACGCTGCTTCCGCACCTGTCGGGTCCATCATCAGTCGCTCTTACTTCAGGGCTAGGTCTCTGGATTTCGCGTTGGGGGCCGAGATTTTGGGACTTTGGGGCTCCGAAAAAAGACTCAACTAGGAGCTCGTTTTTGAAGAGCTTCAGGCTTTTAGGGGCAGGTGCACACCTCCCGTACAGTCAAGAACTTCCCAAATGACACCACCCCGATAGTCACCACCCTCGTCGCACCATCACTCATCACCAGCATGGGAGAGCTGGAAAATACTGCTAAATGCAAAGTAACCTCTCACTTTGCGCATGGCTTGTGTTGCAAACGTGCATTGCCATGTTCGGGACAGGGCTTGCCTTCAGATTGCTTTCATCCTTTGTCAGTATCCGCTTCCACTTTCCCAACACCAATACCCAATTCCCTATCCAAGGACCTTTGGTGACTGAGTATCAGTATCCTGTACCAAAGTGCCCACCACGATGCTCGCTATCCCACCATCGTCATGGTGAGTTTTTGCATGGATAGTCAAGGGGCAAACACCTTCCACCACAAAGCAAAACTTCAAACTTCCACTGCCTTTTTCCTCTCACGCACGGAAGCGAAGGCCCAGGGCGATGCATGCGACAAGGCAGGCCAACACGGGTCGCAAGAATCGCAGGGCCGGGCTCCTGCCTTCCTTTGCACCACCTCTCAGAGGAGCCTCTCTCAGAGGAGCCTCCAGCCTCGGAAAGCTTTGCGCCCGGAGCCTGCGCCAGTGCTCGTACAGCTCACGGCCCCCTTGTGGAGCTTCACCTTCCCAGCTCAGAATGCTGGCGCTGGCAGGCATGGCCCCGGCATGTGGGCTTTCATGCAGCACGAGGATGACGCCTGTGGTCGCCCGTGTCAAAGCAAAGCCACGCTCTGCCGTGATGCGCCATGCGCCATGCACCTGCTCCAAGCAAAGGCTTAAAGCAGCCTTCAACTTGGGTAGAACCTTGCGGCTGGCAAAAAGGACCACTCTCCCACCAGGGCGAACCACGCGAAAAATCTCCAGCAGCATCCCCTGGTAAAAAGACACCAGGCTGCCACGGATACCAAACTGGCGGTTCCAGGGTGGGGCTACTACCACTTTGTCGACGGAAGCATTGCTCCGTGGTATGCCTCCATGCGCTGTCGCATTGCTCTGATGTAGGACGGCCGTCTGCCTCCACAGCATGTGCCCGCTGGCAAAACAAGAATGCACAGAAACAGACATTTGCCAACTGTTGGTTAATGAAATCAGTGTTGCATCCTGCACACGCTGGTTCTAGATTTCACATTACAAGGCAACAGCAGAAGCAGCAACTCCAGCACATCGCGGCGGGTTGCTTCAGCCAGTCAAAGTTGCGCCGGCAGTGTTCGAGCTGACCAGGGTCCACATCACCTGCACAAGCCGCGTCGAGTACTGTGGGGTTGGAGTTTCATGAAAACTCTGGGGCCCTTCCTCCAGCATAAGATTCGTCGAGTGTTTTGCGGTTGGAATGTCATGGTGATTCTGGGTCCCCCACTCCCCCAACTCACAACAGAAAGAATGCGCAGTTGTTCAAGCGTTTGGTGTGTTGGGCTCTACTGCCGTTGGATGTCTTCGGTGTCTAAGCAGGGCGCAAGGCTTTTCGAATGCAGCCCAGCTGCAGCCCACAAAGGTTGCATTCGGCCACCACACGGCAGCCTCACATCCACAAAGACGACTCTTCGTCACAGGACTGCGCGAGCCTTGAGATGCCCTCTGGGCCGTTATTCGAGGCAATGCTCACACCATCTCCCCTTCTCTTCCCCCCCCCCCCCTTCTCTTCCCCCCTCCCCCCCTCTCTTCCCCGCCTGCCTCCGCGAGGATCGTGCCCTTGCCGCACATGGGGTCCAGAACCGTTTCGCCCGGTTCCAGGTCCAGGCTTCGAGCGATCGCCCAGGCTTCCACATGGTGCATTCCCTGAAAAACAGAAGCACACTGGCAAAACCCAATCTCCAAACCGACCTTCAAGGGCCATAGAGCACACGTGTTGAAAACCCGCCTGGTGCGGGAAGAATCCACCGAGCTTCGCCTGTCAGGGGCTTGAGGAGCTCACAATGGGCTTCCCATGGACGGCACGGGAATTGCGCCAAAAGAGACAGGGCCTTCTGCTGCTGAAGGATGGGAACCTCTAGCAGCAGCCTTGGCCCTTCGATGTGCAGGTGCAACGTCAGGTCAGCAGATCCTGCGCTGCGCACTGCGCTGTTCACACCCTTCGGCTTGCAATCGGTTGTTTATATAAATATAGATAGATACATATATATATATATATACACATATATATATATGTACATTCATATGTATTTCTATATTTATATACATTTACATATACATATAGATATTCATCTAAATACAGATATATACACATGCCTCTATTGTTAGGTTTCTTGGGGCTCGGGCAGGTGAGGCAGGTCGGGCAGGCTTCCTATTTGCCGCATGACCCTCAAACTCAACGAGTCTGACGAAGCCGCGCGGCGACCCCGCCCCTGAGGGGACCAGCCGAGCCTGCGCTGCAGGCAAAGCCCCAATTCACGATGCAGGTGGTGGGCCGGCTCGGCACTGATGAGGCGGGCGAGTTGCCGAAACTGCCGACTCACAACACAGCAGCTGTGGATCTGAATCCCCAGAGCTTTCAGATCTGCCACCACTCCATCCCAATCAGCTGCGGCGTCGATGATCTGCGCCAGCTGCGCTGCAGGGTGTGCCATGCCAACCTGAGGTGGCCCGGACGCCTCAACGCACGCAGCAACGCGGCGGATGCTGCGGACACACCGGACCTCGGACAGGGCCTGGACCCTGCGCTCGCCACTCTCGCCTTCGTCCCCATCTGCCATGTCGAAATAAAGCCGGCCCTTTGCACGTCGCACATTGCGGCCAGCTCTCTCCAATTCGGCTCGTGCCATTAGATTCAAAGAAGCATTTTCTCCATGGCAAGCATGTACTGCGCAGTATTCCGCCCACGGCCTGGGAATCAGAAACAAGTGCAGGGGGAAGCTGCCGATGATCTGTGCGGAAGCAGCCACGGCAACTGCAGGCCACATGCACCGCTGCCAGTCGCGTCGGGTCGCAGATGGCTGCCGAGACATGCTTGAAACGCTGACGAGGAACTGTTCGCTCAAGGCATGCAGGGCTGGACAACAGATTCGACCACCATGGCTCAGGAGGCAGGGGCTTCTGGGACCCCCAAAGCCCCAATTAACTGCTAAAACCACTGAGGTACCGGCGGCGGACCAGTGGTAAAACCCACAAACCAAAAGCAACCTTTTTTCCCTTACAAGCGGGACGTGACATCACATCCCAGGCTCAGGCCCAGACCCTGCCGCAAAGGCCCGGGCAAAGGTCGACGACATGGGTGCGTTTTTAGGCGATTTCGATTACGAGCTTGAGATCTATATAAGTAAGAGCTGAGGTGTAGCGCAAGGTTTAGAGCTGAAGTTGAGGTGAGGTGAATGGTATGCACAATGTGCTTAGGCTTGCTTCGTCTGTGTGGGGTCTGATCGTTCTTAAACAAGGCTTCAGAGGGGTGACTATGTGAAGCTTGCACAGTTGGCTAAGGGCGGGTGGGGCGCAGCAGCGCTTTGGCACTGCTCTCATGGTTCATGCTTCTCATGTATCCTGTGCTGGGTGGAAACTTTGACAAGGGCAAGCACGTCCAGATCGAGCGGTGCACCTCTTGCCTAGCAAAAGGAATTAGCTCGGCAACTGGGCCCCTGCAGTTCTTTGAGGTGTGGCTGTCAGCATCACAGGTCTCAGGCCTTTCCGGGCGCAGCGCACTCGACAAAGAGTGTCGCTTCTGGCTGTCCCCCACGCCAAGCTCGGGCGGCTCTTCAGCTGAGACCTGAACTCAAACTTCTGGACTGGGCACATCCGCTCGAGTCGCCTCCCACTCATCGTCACTAGGATCCTCGATTGTCTCCTGAGCTGAGGATGGTGATGCTCCAGTCCTTCCCTGCTCTGGCTCTGGCGCTCTGTTGTGCATCTCGATCGAAACATTCGCCTCGCCCGCATCCTCTGCCTCTTCAGCGGGTGCCGCATCACTGGCTCCATCATTCTCCTCATTCTCCTCATTCTCCTCATTGGCGCCCTCGCGGTCCTGCGTTGGGGCGGGAGGCAAGCAGCTGGAGTGCAGGAAGTTGTTCAAGAGCTCGGCATTCGCCCGGCCCATGACCTCCACCAGCACCTCCAGTGAAAGGTCTGCAATCCCTGCCAACGAGCCCGCACGCCGTGCCAGGCTGTTCATGTTGCTGGGATTCACGCCCGGAAATTTTCGCAGGACATCGAAGGCACCAGAGTTGACCTGGGCTGCCTTCAGTTTGCCCTCCACCAAATCTTCGTCCAGGTCCTCAGCATCGATCTCGGACGCAGCCTTGGAGTCCGGCTGGTACCTCCCCTCTTTCAGCTTCAGGAAAATGTCTGCAGTGAAGCGCGGAGAAGGGCTCCAGATGATCCTTAGCTTGGGGAAGTGAAGTACCACCAGGGGCAGTTTCCCGATCACATCCTTGGTGCCAATCTCGATCTCACGGCGTGCAATGAGGTAGCTGCTCTGAAGCATGAAGCCTTTTGAGGGATCAAATTCGATCAGCAGGAGCGGGTTGGCGTAGTGGTGGCAAAGGTTCTGCGCCTGCTGGTAAAGTCGGCCGCTCTGCAGCGATTGGATCAGGTCTGTCACCGCCTTGCGTTCCACACAGATGTCGCGAGACAGCACATAGTCGCCCACAGGGATCGTGACCTAAATCATGACAGTTTTGTTGCTCATAACTACCATGTGCTCTACGTGCCTTGGCCCAAAGCGCATGCTTTCGAAGAGGCTCCAAGCCAGGGCCGGCGTTAGTCTAGCATTAACCCGACTATTGCGAGATCCTGAGAACTCACTTTGAATTCAGATTCGATACAAAAACTTCTCTTATACCTCACTATAGATTCCATCTCAGCATGGGCTAGCTGCCCTGTGTTAATTGGCACTAATTTGGAATAAACTTGTCAACACATAATGGACATGGCCCTCTGAATTTATGACTTTGACTATTCTCAGGCCAAGCGTTCTTCTGCGGTGGATCATTCCTTGACTTTAGCCATCCATGAGTGTTTCGCTAAGTTGCAAGTAACGCATTTTCAGAGATTTCACGTCGGGACTAAGCCTAAATCAGATTTCATCAAGTGAGCCACCGTCAAAACTCTAGAGGTCGGGCCTACGTCGCGCGTTGTTCAACGTTCCCCGTCGCTTTGCAAGGGTTTAAGGGGCGTCGCTTCTCAATGTTCCCCGTCGTATTACAGGTTTTTTTTGCACTTCAGCATGCAAATGTCCTACCAAGACAGAACCGCAATTACCATAGTTTTGACCCGTGCTCAAGTGTAAAGAACCCTTGCCAATCACAGCTCATCAACTTCTGTGACGGGAAACAGTGACTGCGAAAAAACCACGGGCGGGCATGACTGGGTATGACCGGTATGACCGGGCGTGACTGAGTAAATGGTATGATCGGGTGTGACCCAGCACGTGCAAGACTGCATCAAAAACATGTGCACACTCGGCCGTACTCGGGCGTACTCGGGTGCACTCGGGCGTACTCGGGCTGCAGTCGCTGAACGCGGCCGCAATGAACTTATACACGTGAGCTTTCTTTCCTTGAACGGCCATCATGCTAAACCACTGTAGACCATCTTGCATTTGTCCAAGGTTCACAACCAAAGCTCAAACGTCTCAGCAGAAGCATGTTCCTGGTCGTTCTACCCCTCCTCGCTCGCTACTGTCTTCTTGGTGCTTTGCTGTTTGTCGATCTTGTTCGTCTCAGAAGCCCAGAAGCCAAGAAGCCAGAAAGCCATCAGGCACAAAAGACATGCCTAAGAACACCAAAAAGCAAAGAACCCAAGAAAAACAAAGTAAAGCTGAAGAATCCGGCAAGCTTAGAAGTCGAGACACAGAAGGGGCCAAGAAGCCCGCAAACCCGTAAGCCGCAAGCCGAAAGCCGAGAACCCAACACACGCAACCCTGAGGAACCTGCGTCATCCTTACGAGGCTTTGGTAGTACAATAGCCCTGAAGCCACCTTCAAGATCTTGGGCTCTGAAGTCTTTAACACGTCTTTGCTGCATGTCAGCTCCTCGAAACGTTGCACCACAGGCTGTGTTTAAGGACACTTAGCCGTTGCGCCAGGCCACAGGCTCCACCACCAAGCCGCGAAGGTGCAGCATGAATGGAAGGGTCGAACGAAACTCCCGCCTGAAAGCATGCCGGGCCATGAGAATAACGTAACAAACGGAGTTCATGTTCCGGATGCTGCATCTACGAAAGCACCTGCCCCCCTGGAATATCCCCAAAATTCCCCAAAGACTTTCTAGAAACTGTGTCACGAAATCCACGGCCCGCTTCAACAAACTACAGTCAATGAATGCTTGCAAGGGCACATGTCCACTACCACGCGAGGCTTCGTCATTCCTTTCAGAGACCTCGAACCCCCACCACGTCTGGAAGATGGCTCGGGGGCAAGGGACTCAGTAGGAAGGTCCACTCCTGGATTGCTGACGACAACACGAACGACCCACGACGCTGTACCCTGGTGCTTCAGCAACGGGGCCCGCCACACTTTCAAATCGCATCCAAACATTGCAAAAACTGATGCTTTGCATAGCCTGGGCTCTGAAAGTGAGGTGCTGCCGAAACCGAATCAGGGAATCCACCGCTTCGCTCTCCTTGCAGGATCGCATACTGTGCCGCTTATCATTATCTGCGCATATCTTAGCATTTTGAGCCTGTGCACGGGCATCATAGAGCTGCAATGAGCTACGTTCTTCAAACAGCCGTCGTCATGGGACATGCATGCGGGCTAGCGCAATGCGCCTGCACCACGCACTGGTCGAAGCGATGCTTCTCCACGGACTCGTCAAAGACCAGCAGGTAAACGTGGAAAGGTACCAGTGCTCGTGTTGGCTCCGCATAGCCAGCCGTGCCAGCCTCCTTTTTGATGACGGGCCCTTGCCTTGCCGACTTACAAGAAGCACAATAGACCTCCAAGGCCCGAATCGCATGAAGCGTGGGCTCGAAAACGAGGACTGCGTGGGGCTGCATCTCCGCAAGGCGAACTTCCAGCTGTCCCTCGGTGTCGTCTGCAGAAATGATGTCGATCCTGGGATGACACATTCGCCCATCCGCGAGTTTACGAGCCTGCAAAGCGCTTCGGGGCTGTAGCTCCTCAAGCTCTTGGGCAACTGCCTGCGCTTCATTTGCGAGCAGCGCGGCCTCGCCGAATCTCAAGGGGGTGGAGAGGTCCCCTGAGAGGTCCTGCCGCCGCTGGCTTCGTTCCCGCAGGTATGCCTCCAGGCCATCCAACAGGGTGGCCTGCGGGCCGCGATGAAGCAAAGTGGAAAGCTGTCGCCGGGAGCGATCATCTGGGGCGATGAGGAGAATCCGGGGCTCCACGACGTCACCAGCGCCAGCACTGCCAGGGGCATCGGTACTGGCGGCACTGTTGCAAGGCTCCGTGCGCAGTCGCTTGGCGACGGGCTGCACCATGATCTCTATGTCACTGTCATCCAAATCCAAGCTGATCTGAGTGCCCATGTTCAGGGAAGCAAACTCAAAGCATCCAGCTTTCGGGTGTTCGCGGCGCTCTGCCACGTCCACCAGCGTGCGGTCGACTGCCTCCAGGATCTTTGCCCACTTGGCGTGCGGCTGCACATTCCGCTGCAAGACCTGCCCTGCACCATCCGGGTTCGCATGGATCTCGTATACACGTGCCTTTGCCAAGCTTAGGCAAGCCTGAGCATCAGGGCTGTGTAACCATACAGGAGCCTTCCCAGCATCCCTAGAAGCACAGAGGTTCTCCAGCACCCGCTGGAACTCCACCGCGTCGCTGCGCAAGAGTTCCGTGAGAAGTCTCCGCACGCCACTCAAGTCACTCACCAGCCGCCGCGCATGAGGGCCCAAGCTGAGCCAAACTGGGTCCAGGACCTGGAAAAAGTTCCGACCAGGTGAGAAACAAAAACGAGGACGAGCAACCCCCCGTGGCTTTCAACAACCTTTGGCCCCCAGCATCCCCCAACACACGCTGCAGGCCAGGGAGCTTGCCGCAGCTCGGCCTCGAAGGCGGGGGAGACGGAGTCCCTCATCTTCAGGTGCCCCATGTCGAGGTTGGGGTCTTTCTGCAGCTCAAGCAGCCTCAAGCGCCCTTTTTGCGCAAACCACATGACCATTACGACGTGATCGCCAGTGACATGGAAATTTCAATCATTTTCAATCTAAAATAAAGCTGCCAGCGGCAAAACTCACCCTCAAACACCTCAAGCAGCGTGCTCTGCACAATGTTCAGGATATGCCCCTGGATGGCTTTGACATCCTGCGGCAGCTCCAAAACAATCTGGTGCACGTCCTGCTCCCATTCCTCGTGCCGGAGACAATCCTGCACATCTTTCCGGATTCCTTGCTTGCCAATGCGAGCTACTAGTACAAAATCGGACTTTGCTTCGCCACAGGAAACCAAGAATGTGCTTTGTCGGCTGGGGATCTCGGCCATACTTCCAAGTCGTTCACAAAACACCGCTGCATCACTTTTTCCAGCTGACCTTGCCCGCGGGCAAAAGCATCCGGCATGTCCGAAATAGCTCGGACGAACCCGTTTCGATTGCCCACCTGCCATTGTTTACGATGGGAAAACTGCAAGAATTGAATCACATGACATGGTCATGAACAGAATCGCCGGTAAATGCAGTCAAGCCGCACGGAACAAACGCAGCATAAAAGCATCTGCCGACAACTCGCCCACCCCGTGCGCATTATTCACAAACACTCCCTCGATGTTCTCTGGCTGAAGGCGATCTCCAAGCAGATCCGTGACGAGTAGCTGAGCATGAACAATAAATGCACCACCTTTCGCAAGTGCTGCTTTACGTCCTTCCACGCCGAGGGCGGAACCGATGACGGTCAACTTGTCTTGCAACCCTGGCTGCAATGAGTGATTTGCAATGGGTGTCCCCACATGCATCCAGCGACATCAGAAACACACGAGCCTGCCCAACGCGGGTCCGCGGACACACGTTTGGCTAGGAGCTCTGCTTCTTCCTGCCACATGCATTTCTCCAAGTAACACACAGACAAAAGCCTACATCCCGCCAGTCCTGCGAAGTATTTAAAACGATGATGGAACGCTTTTCGCTCTCTGCATCGAGTTGGGCGGCTGCTAGGGAACGACGCAGCGCTTCGAGAAGAACAGTCCTTCCCACGCATGGACCAGCATCACACAAAACACGAACCCACGAATACTCCGACGTCAACAGAAAAGGAGAAAGGGCGCGTGAACCCTATCCAGGCCTATTATAGCCAAATGCGGTTAAGGCTCTGGACGCCAAGACCATGACCGAATATGGCCAGAGCGGACGACGACCGAAGCCACTCATCCACGGCACGCTGTTGGTATGCCAGCATCAACAAGCTAAAGAGACATCCCGGGTTCCAGCAATCAAAACATGATTCGCAGTACACGTGTACCAAGTCACATTAGAGTCAGTAGAGCTGGTGGCTAGTGTCACACGAGACAATGGCATGTGCATGGATTAGATGTTCAACCATGACAAGGCTGCAATACTCTTGGCGGCCACCTCACATGTCAAGATCTGCTCGAAAAAACAGAAACGGAAACGCCTCCATGAGTACGCTTCCTGTGTAATTGTGCTAAACGAAGGGAAAAGGCGGCGATACTGTCTGCAGCTTGACATGTACATACATGTACTTGGCCAACTTTTGGTCGTTGGCGCTTTCTTTCCGAACCCTTGTTGCTTACCCTGACATGCTTACGCATGAAGGCTTCTATTCAACTGGTTATCAGGTGTCCTGCTCGTTGATCTTCCCTAAAATTTTGATTCAGGGCTGGCTTCGGCTAGTGGCTGTCGGATACTCCTCTGCTGATTTTCAGATGCCGCGCCGGTTTTGGCTCCCAGGACTTGCGGCATTCGTGCTGGAAAGTCGGCGAAACGAAAGAGGGACCCCCTTTATCCGCTGGGGCCTTGAAAGTGACCTAAATCTGTCAGTCTGTTGCACGGCCACCCCTAGTATGCCCCACCAACGGCGGGACCAACGGCGGGACCAGCCCGCTGCGGCCGCGCGGCGAAGAGCGGGAGGCGCTCGCTGCGACCGGACGCGCAGGAGGTGGTGCACGAGGCGGCCAGCCTCGTCATTCCAGCGCCCCCCGATCTCCGCGCCCAGGACCACGAGTTCCTGTGGCCCAGCGCGGCAGAGCTCTGGGTAGGTGGACCGCTTGCGGCGTTCGGCCACGGGAGCACGGCGCCGTCCGTGTCAGCGGCGCCCGGCTGTGGATGCCCTGTCCGCGCGAGTGGGGAGACGAGGGTGGCATCGCAGCACAACGCACCCCCCCGCGGCGTGGCCCCATAGACGACTAGGTCGAGCCGTCGTCGGTCATCGGCCGGCACTCCCGGCGCAGTAGTGTGCACCAGCCACTGTTGGGATGACCTGCCCCTCGGGTCCGACCGCCTCGCGGGCTACGCGCACCCAGGCTCGCTCGACGGTCTTCACGCGTCATGCCAACAACCCTGTGCGGGGGCAGGCCATCCCCCATGCTGGTCGACCTGTTGGCGGGTGTGGGCCGCAGCGATTGGAGCTGAGCAGCAGGGGCAAACGCAAGACGCCGCTTCCACATTGCCATTTATTTCGTGGAGAATCCAAGCCGTTCGCAATTCGGTGGCCTACTGGTCATCCTGGTTTGTTGCCAGAAAATATTGGGGCTGCAGCGTCGGCGAATCAGGACAATCAGACTTGTGTTAGAATGATGTCACAAAGAATTCTGAATACAGTCACCATGGTGGGCGCCATTCAGACGACGGAGCGGCAAATTCTACCAAGAAGCTTTTCCCCAACTCGGGATAAAGGACGACAACTTGGACATGGTGCCTGAGTTTATCCAAAGCGGTCATCCACGCTTCCACATCAGCTTGCCTACAGGTCCCGCAAGCAACTTCGGTCGAAGCAAAGCCGGAGGAGGCCATTGTTTCTTGGATCCAGCATCCGTTTTCGAAGCCATGCTGAATGCAGCTTTCGTCGGGCGGCTTGGCTGCTCCTAGCGCCTCCACCTCCAGGCAACTGCTGTGGGATATAGGTACGCCAAGCCATGTTTGTAGGAGCCCCGATAGATCTTGATGCTTCTTTTGTCCCTTTTTTCGCCCACGCTCCTTCATGCGCAATCCACGGCGCGGTACCAGTGCTAATCACTGCAACACGCGACACACTAAGGCAGCAAGTCCAAGCTCCCAGGCATGGGGGACATGCATTCAAGGGAGTCGCCTTGCAATGGGGGGTGGCTCAGCAGAGTCAGCGAGGAGATCGCTCAGGAGGGGAGCTTCCCCATGGACGCTGGCAGTGGCCGACGGTGGCAAAGAGAGGAAGCTGGCCGCAAAAGATCGGGCTGCGGCGAAGGCAAGCAGCGCAGGCCACCGCAGGGCGAGCGCAGATGTGACCGCTGCCCGTGTTGCTACGGGAGCAGCGCGGGCCCGAGATCGGGCGAGCAGTCTGACGAACTCAGCGGCCTGCGGGGACCACCGCGCCTTGGCGCGCTCGGCGAACCGCAAAGATGCCCCAGCAGTGATGCCTTTGTCACGGCGTGGCATCCCAGCAGCAGTCAGGGGCAAGACTAGGGTCGTGTCGACGGCGAGTTGCAAGCCACCCCACAAAGGCAGGCCGTTAGCAATGACCTCAATGCGCCTTTTGTCCGGGAAGGGGCAACATTGAGGTCTCGCACCAGGACATGAGTGGCCACAGTCGCCCCGGCCTCCCGGCCGACGCGTGCCACAGCAGCGTTTTGGGCATCGTGGGCGGATAATACTCCTGTCTTGCAACAGCGTGAAGGTTCTTTTGTTCATGGCCTTGTCCACAACCTGCACAACGATGGCGAGTTGCCGCCCCCCCTTGTGCTTCTCGAAAAGGCCCGTGCCTCCTTGTCCGCTGTTGGTTTTGAGCCGCCGTCACGGCACGACCTGATAGCAGGGCAGGCCGCGCCACCAGCCTGCAACTCGACACCACCCGTGGATGGCCGCGTGTTGCTTTTTTTTGTTGCTTCCCAGGCTGTAGACAGTTTCTGCCACCGGGCTTTGCTACGAGAGCTGGATGCATCCGGCGCGGCCGTGAGTTTCAAACGCCGTTGTTCCGAGCACTCCTCCTACGGAGGCTCCCCCTCACCGCGGCCAGATGCCGCTGCCGCCAGCCGCATGATGCATGCGGTGACCACCTGGCCGTTTGCCCACGCTCCGGCTTTGAAACTGTTGTTGCTTGCTCCACGCATGCGCCTAGCACGCTTTCGGCCGCAAAGCGCAGAACTGTTGGGCTGGGCCGAAGCATTGGAAGCTCGGAGTCACGACGCACCCCCGTTCGACGAAAACATTTAGCCCAGACGCAGTATCGTTTGCACCAAAATGAGGAGGAAGCTAACATTCGCGGGCACGGCAAGTGCCGACATCGCGCCGGTGCTTCAGCTCCCGCAGTTCATCGCACGCGCCGTATCTTCGGTTCTGCGATGGACTCCCAAGAAGCTGCACCCGGTTGCTGGGCATGCGGGCCGAACATCTGAAGTCCTTCTCCAGGATGTGCAGGCAAGCTTTGCGCAGATATCGCAGGCCTTAGCCTTAGCCATGGCACGCATCACTGCCCTTCGCAAACCAAACGGGGGTGTGCGAAGGATAACGACGGGCCGTTCTTCCCGCCGGTTTCCCACACGCTCGCGAAAGACATGGGCGGCGACCTTCGAACGAGCAACGCAACCATTCCAGTTCGCCATACAGCGCGGGCGGGCTCGGATGCCCTTGCAGCACACGTCCACGCAGCCCTTTGGATGAAGGTGGCCAGTGATGCAAGTTCAGATGCCTCAGCCTGGCGTGCGCGCCGCTGGGCATACAGAACGATGCCTCAAACGTTGCAAACGCGGAGGTTACGTCACGCCTGCCGAACTGTAGGCCGTAGGGGCACGGACACTACAAGCAGCCGGAAAAAGGAGCGCGGAAAAAAAAAAAAAAAAAAAATCAAGGCTCGAGAAGCTCCAGCTGCCCAAGAACTTTTCTGGCCAACAGCGTGGAGAATGACCCGAGCAGCAAAACCACGGTGCACGCCACCAGGCGTGGCCGAACAATGGCGACCAAACAAACTGATTTGCCCACTCAGGACATGCACCGCGAAGGGGTCCCAACCGAGTTCACCCAAAACGGCTGAATTGGGTGCGCCTGCTGGCCAACACAGCAAGCGCCGCCCCAGCTGGCGCACATGCTTATCCAAGCGCTGTACAGACGTGTCAGCAATGAAAAAGCAGCACCATGGGTCATTGAAGGCAGCACATATGACTGAAATAGGCTTCGGCGAAAACTCGTGTGCAAACCACGGTTTTCTGCCCAGGCAATGCATTGGTGGAATTTGCCTGTGCTTTTAAAGATCAACCTGTCGGTTTGCTTGTTCTACCTTCTTGAAGCCTGGAAAAGGACACCCAAGTAGTGATACTCAGGGACGACAGGGACAAGACCTGAAGCACGAACCGAAAATCACGAGACCTACAGCCGACGGCAAGAACAGTTGTCTTATCGGGGCCTATGCCAAGGAGAAACATCTGCGCTAGATCCCGTGCCCATACCCTAAACGTCCGTCGGCTTTCTAGGAATTACGACCTTCGACAGCGCAGCCGAACAAGCAAGCCATTCTGATGTCAACGACGGTGATCCTATTTGCCCTGCACCAGGAATCGCAGCGGTGGAGGAAGCCTGGCGGATATTAGGCGCAATCGACCTGGATGACGCCTACGCTGCCAGACGTCCTTCACCCACGCCGCTGCACGGGGAGCCTTGGCTCATGCACAGAGACGTCCGTGCGAGGAGCCCGCGCAGGCAAACCTGTAGTGGGGTGCATGCTCATGTGGTTGGACCAAAGGCGCGGCGCGCCGGTTCTGCTTTGCGCTGTTGGCAATGATGGAGGCGGCCTCGGCGGGTGGGTTGCGGCATAGGACGGCGTCGATCGCGTGCTTCCTCGGCACGTTTTTGTGCCGCCATGTGCGTGCAACAAGGCGGATTGCAGCACCAAAGCAAGCTACCATCAGCGCCGCGAGCTCAGCGACCGCCCGTGTCATGCGAGGTTGCTGTGCTAGGCGCATGTGGCTTGTCGGAGTCGCACGCCAGTTCAAAAAAAAAACATGGAACCGCAGGCGCCTTCGCAACACACAGAGGCCTGTTTTCGTGCAGGCATGGTATGGCATGGTACCTTCTCGGCTCCCGGCCAGGGTCAACAGCACCCCCCGTTTAAGCCTTCCGCAGGGCCCCGCGGTTCGCTGCCCAACTTCCCTAAGCCCCACATCCATCAAAGGCTTCTAACTCTTCCTGCGTGAATGAGCAGTGCTCTCATCTTGGGGCACCGTTTTTTCTAATTACATCTGTGCTAAGGCGCAACTCCCGTTCACGGCGGCCCTGGGTATCCCTGGGTTATCCGCTTCGCCAATGCTGGCTTCGGCGTGGGTGCAGACGTCGCACAGCGCATGGCTCCCGCGCCCCTTCTCCGTGCGAGCTGGCCAGGCACGTGCTAGCGCTTGCAAGCGACCGCAGACAGCTCGATGTCGTCGTGTAGGGTGCCGCGCCCCGGATAGGTTCTCTGTGCTGCGACGCCACGCTGGTTTCACCCTTGACACGGGGTGGGCAGCCGCAGCCCGGCGCCGCTGCCGTGTTGCGAGTGGCCGCGGGGGCACCCAAGGTGGCCGGCGGCGCTCGGGTTGGCAGAGCGGGTCAGCGGCCATGCTGGTCGCGCCGCTGGGCCCAAGCCTTTCATCTGCTTCAGCAGCAAGCTTTTGTGCTGCTAGTGCTTCCGATGGAAATGCATCAGTGTCCAGGGCGAAAAAAGAGGGCACGTGCGCAAGGCATGAAGTAGGCTCCAATCATCGCACCCGCAAAGGCATGGATGGTTGGGGCCGCGGTGACGGGCAGCACGGCCATCCAAGAAGGGATGATGGCCACCCCTAGCCAATGTCCATTCCCTGACCACCGAGGATGGCAGCCGAGAAGCATGGACGTTTTGTGAAAAATCCATGTCAGGATGACACGTGGCAAGCCAGTGGTGTCATTGGATGGATGCAATACTTTTGACTGCCTGTCCCGCGCGGTTGCCCTGTCGTCCGGATGTTCGACGTTCGTCCTTCAACCTACTTCTGGTGGGACGCGAGAGGCTGGCGCCGGGACATCAGGCAAGGCGAAGGCTGCGAGCAGCACGATGCGCTGGCCCCAGCCCTGTTTGCCCTTGGACCCTCGGACAACACGCCGCTGTGCTGCGCCCCGACGAAAGCCGATTTTTTCTCACACTTTTTTGCGTCTGCCCACGTCAGGTCCGAGTGCCCCATTCTGAACGACTTGTACGTCCTCACAACAGCAGGCCGTGCCCGCGACGGGTTAAACACGACCGTACACAGTCGCCACAGCATCGCTGAGCTGGGCGGCGATGTGTGGCACAGCGACAATCCACCGTCTGAACGAGGGATCGCCGTTCAGGGCTCGCCCCTCGGCCACCCCGAATTCACAAGCGCCTGGGCTGAGCAACGTGTTCACACCGAGCGTCAACTGCTAGACCACTTGCCGTGGCCTACACGCGCACATGACGAGGCCATCTGGCATACGGTGCAAAAGTGCTTGGGGCGCGTGTTCCGAGCAGGAAGCAATCGGGGGGCTTCCAATCGCAGGCCCGATGAGAAAAATTATTGCGACGACAACTCTTGTTTGCAGGTGGTTTCCGACTGACTTTATACAGACTCTCCCGTCGACCACATTTGGTCAAGTTCCCCGGTCTGCTTTAGCACACATTTAGCTGGTCACAAGTTCCGCAGCTGCACCTGTGTCACGGGACACACAGGCGTGGCTCGCTTGGCGTTGAAGGTTTCCATCAGGGACATGTCACCCCGGCTGGGCCCATCAGACGGGTTCGACTTCGAAGGTACCCTTGCATGCCACATGAGCGTGGGGGACGTCTCATCGGGGCACTCGAGCAGCAACAACAAATCGCGCCACTGTTTGACAGACGCGGATCCCTTGATAGCAACATCGAGCGCAGTGTAGTTGTCGATGAACGTCATCAACCTCCTTCCCTCGAAGTACGACTTCCAGGCGCGGATGCCCACTACGACGGCGTAGAGCTCCACTAGGCCGATCACATGCGACTTCCCATCCGCGCGCCACATTTCCAGCACGTTCTCAGGAACAGCACAACCAAAATACTCAGCCCGCTGACTACGCCCGGGCCACAAGAGCAGGCCCCCTATGGCGGCAGGCGGGATACCAAGCTTGGCATGCCCCTCTCAAGAGCGCCATCCGTGAACATGAGGAACGGGAGCTCCCCCCGAGAGGCAAGTAAGGTACGGGGCCTGCCCCGCGTGAAGCGTTCCTTCAGAAGGTTCAAAGCCGCCAGACCACTGGGGTCTAGACTCACAGGTACTTTGGAGGTATGCACCAAGGCTCGAACATCATGCAACGCCAAATGCCCCGCTCTCCCCCAAATCTGAGCATCGGCATACTGAAGTTTGCCGACGAAGGAAGGCAGGTGGGCCGGGATGACTTTCTTGTCGCGACACGCCGCCTCCAGCACTGGCAACAACTCAGCAACCCGGCTATCCTTGTTCTTAACCTGGATCACCCCTTTAGGAGCGCCAGTCAAGTCCACCTGGACGCCTAGAACTTCCGCTTTCACATCAAAGGGGAGGAGTTTTTCCTTAGCGTGATCAAACCCCAACAACTTTAGAAAGCCGACCATGCAGGCCATGGTCGAGGACGCGCACAGGGAGTGCGATATCAGCGGAAAGTCGTCGAAATAGTTCGACCAGCAAAGCCCCAAGTGGCACCCCAAAGCGTGGATAAGGGAACTGCATCGCAAGAAGGACGGGACGCTCGCTGCCCCCCCAAAAGGAGAGCGTCTTCATGATGTAGCACTCCAACGCCATACTCCGAGGGTTCCGGAGGCACACGATGGACTTGTTGTGATCCATCGGAGACAAGGGGAGCTGCTTATACGCTGATTTTAGGTCTAGCGACGACATGCGCAACTCGGCCCCGGCATCTGACCAAGCGTGATGAACCTTGCCCGACAGCACCTGGCCTGTGGATAAAGTAAAGCGGTAGGCACCCCTATCCCGGAAGTATGCAACCAAGGTATTAGCCGACCACAACACATGGTCCATGGCAGACAAGGTGACCCGCTCAACACTCGAAAAGCAGGAATTGACCTCATTCTCACGCAGGTCGTCGATGGGGCGCAGTTTCGCCCCCTGACGCACGGCAAACCTCCGCACAGGGAGCCATTCTCCTAGGCGATCGCTGACTTCGGCAGGGGAAAGGGGGCCCTCCAGCCATCCTTTGGTGTCGGCCTCCTCACGAGTGATGTCACACAGCTCTTGAACATACTACCGGTTCTGACTCCAGTCGCTTCAAAATGCCTTCCCTGATCTTCGGAGCCCTGCGCATGAGTTGGCACTCATCCTGCGAAGCGACTACCAAACCAGCCCTGAATACACCAGACTTCGTGGCAGGGCCTACGAGTCGGAAACCCTGGCACACATCTGTTGCCCTGTCCGGCCATTGGATCTCGTCGACAAGGTGCGCCAACAGGGCCAGATGTTTCCCTTTCAGTATGCCTTGCACATCAGGATGAAGCTGTTCTTTCATAGTCACTTCTGACGCAACGACTTGGCCAGGTCCTGCCAATGCTTCAAACGCGTCAGCCTCAGCTTCGTCAAGTCCATTGGTGACAAGGAAAGCTGCTCATGAAGGGCGGTGATCAAGTAGTCTGGCAGGTGGGCCAGCGAGTCGAAAGGGTGACAAAGCCTCCTCGCCTCTTCTACAAAGGACAAGGGATCCCACTTACCACCTCCCCTATTCTCGGAACGCAGAAGCTTGCTCCCAGCGGGCAAAAGACCTCGAGGAGTCTGCAAATCCCTATGCAGGCATTGCTTGCCGTCAAGAGACGGCAGCGCGGGCAAAATGCTGGAGACGGTATGCTGGTACTCGGGGATGACCTGCGGATGCAGCCGGCCCCGGGGTTGACGGTAGGCCCTCGGCACCAGAGGAGCAGCAGAACCTAAGGGAAGCGCCCGCTCACGGCACACGTGTTCAGCAAAATCACAAACAGCATGGCACGGCTTTGGTGGGTACTCAGCTTCGAGGGCCGTGGCAAAAGACCCATCTGCTTCCTGTCCCCACGGCTCCTGTTCATGATCTCCCGGACACCTCAGACACAGTCCAGGCCATCGAGCGCTACCCAAAAAGCTGGTACGCTTTAAACGCCGGCCCCCAAACGCACATGACTCGCAGTGCGAAAACCGTCCGAGCTTGACGAGCTCTGCAAAACAAGGCAAGATCCAAAGCAGGCTGCCGGTGGGGTTTTCCACCATCCAAGGGATATTGCGCTTACGTGCCGGTAGCAGGAACTCCGCCAAGCACTCGTACAAGGCATTGGCCTTCTCAACCTTGAACGGGTTATGCGGGGACAAGTCCGGCACTCCATAGGGATACGTATGCATGCGCAACACAGGCGGGCCCATTGACCCGTCCGCCAGCGGGATTTCCCGCACTGCGGAACAAGTCCCACACGGGGGCGCGGCGAACAAGAGAGCCACCTCTCGGTTCTCTAGGATGTACCCCAACGTGCTCCACGAGGATGGAAGGCTCAAGTCTAAGACAGTGATCTTGCTTTTGGGTGTGTGACGGTTCAAGGCATGATCAACCGCAAGGGTCGAGAATCCACGCGTAGAAGCCACGCTGCTCAGCACCGCGGATCCGGCGCACAACTCAACAAGAAGAGGGCCATCACCCGGCAGAGATACCGAATCACCGACCTCCGGGGCCCTGCTCTCAGGGATTTGCTGCCCATCATCGGCCGTATCAAGCATTGAAGGATGTTGCGTATCCGTGGATTGACCATCGACCTCCGGGGCCCTGATCTCAGGGAGTTGCTGCCCTTCCTCGGTCGTCACGGGGGACTGAGGGCCTACCGGGGACTGTGCTCCTGCTGGTCCAGGCCCAGGAGGTCGACGCAGGCTTGGGACAACCCCGTTCAGGCATGTCACATGGAGGCAGGTTGAAGCCGAGACCTGCCACAACGGCAGCATCCTGACTGGAAAGGTTGCGAAGGAGGCCAACCGTAAAAGCAACCATGACCAGCCGCGACCCTTTCCAGGGCAATGTGAAGTGTTTGCAATGTTTTGCATCGAACAGCCAAGGCTTCGCAGCTACATCCAAGCAAAACCCTGACTCCTCGGTTCCATCGCACACGTGTCGGTCGGGTCCATCCTGGTGCACGACAAACAGTTGACCTCCCGAAAACAGAGTGATAGGGACAATCAAGTTTGGCACTGGACTGTTGCGCGAGTCAGCATGAGGCGCAACCTGTATGTTGCGGAACAGGGCAACTGTTGAAAAGACGTGGTCAGCATACACCAGCCGAACTGCGTCGGTCAAAATTCGACAAGCATGAGGGTATCTGTGCGTGGCGGCTCGAAGCCCCGTAACCCCTCCATGATTGTAGACACCGACTTGGAAACTCTTTGCACCTGCTTGGGCCCCGTCGCGGGGCGGTTCCTGCACAGGCGCTTGCTCAAGCAACTGCAAAATGCGGTCGCATGGGTTCAGAGAGGTGTCGTCAAGTAAACTCTTGCAAAAGGAATCGAAGCATTCTTCTGTGACATTGGAAAACGAAACCGACTGTACAGGTTGAGGCGGCGCCTCAATCGCACACTTGCGATCGCCCACAGGCGTCTCTGCCATTGCGCGACACATTCCCCGAGGCATCCTCCTCGGGTTCTGCGGGCCGTTCATGACCCGCCTCCTCCTTCCCATGCCCTAGTCACTCCGCCTTGGATGCCCGTCGTGGGCATTCCGTGGCCGGATGGTTGCCATGGCATTTGGCAACAGCGCAAACGTGTAAGCCGCGCTCACACTTGTTTCCCGTGACCTTGCGCTCGCATTTCTTGAGCGAGTAGTCAAACATTTCTTGAGCGAGTAGTCAAAGCACACGGGGTTCCCACGGGAGGTACTGGCAACACAGCCGAGGCGCAGCAACTGGGCCGGAACAATGCCTCCTCCTGACCGCTCACCGCGGCCCTTGCCCTTGCCCTTGCCCTTGCCCTTGCCCTTGCCTCGGCCCTTTGAGCCCAAGCGGCGCTTCTTGGTCGGGGAGCCTTCCTCGTTCCATGCTTCCTTGGCAGCAGCAGCCAAAGGCTTGCGCTGGATCATCGAGAGGAACTCACTGCTCTCGATGCATGCCTTGAACTCATTGTCACATGGCCGGCCACCGGCGGTGGCTTTGATCCCCGCCCTCGTGCGCTCCGCCAGCAGCATGAAGAACCGACGGTCCGCTGCCTCGATCTGCCCCATCCCGACAGCTGCAAATCCAGGAGGAGTCGGCATCAAACGATGTTCGAAGTACTTCTCGATCAACTGATCGTGCAGCTTATAATCGAGGATATTAGCTTCATTTGGCAGTAGCGCACCTGGAGCTCTGTGGCCGTCCCGCAGTCCCGCAGGGAGCTGCACCTTGCTTCGAAGACATCTTGACCTGGCCGTGAGCATCAAGGACCAGCATGCCATCTTTCTGGTCTCTGGATGCACAGGCCGCCCACTCAACGTACGCCAGTCGGTCTGTTTCGTAGACATGGGCACATCTATCTGTCTGCCAGGCCATCGCCTGGCTCCAAATGCCCCCTCAAGTTGAGGCCGGCCAGCCTCTTCTGTTGATCGGCCAACCTCTGAGCACGGACGGCTGGTGCCAAACGCTTGATAGGGACATCGTCCGAGACTCCACCTGAGTCTTGATGTCACGAGCTACCTGGAGTGTAAGGCCAGCGAAGCCAGCGTGTCAATCTCGCCATTTGCGAGGTGCGTGTACCATGTGCACCTATGCTGCTGCAGGTCTGCTCAGACAAGTGTCCCCACACACATCACGTTTTCGTAGGCCTGCGCGTGAGCACAAGGAATGCATGAATGCCGGTTTCTTGTTCAGGACCTCTAAGCGCGTGCTGATAGTGCGACCGCACACAGCTGCGATCCAGCCTCATCCCGAACCTTGTGAATGCATTGAGATGAGGTGCCTTGCAAAGTGTTCGTCGGGGTCGTGGCCTGGATCTCACTCGCCGACGACATCTTCCACGGCCCTTTCTTCTTCTGACACCTGCTTGCACTCCTCATCCGTCGAGCCCTCGGAATACTCCGACTCCCCAGCCAGCTCACTTGCCAAAGTCCCAGAGCGGGTCAAATCCGGATCAAATTTGCCGCTCTTGACGTCCATGATGAGTCGCACGAGCAACCGCATAGGATGCGCCATAGCATCTCTGCTGTAGACGACCAGGGAGTCTCCAGCCTTCACTTGGCAGCCAGTGAATGCCGGCCTCCTGACTTCTTCGCGCTTTTGTCGCACAGTGGGAAGCGACCAAGCTCTTGATCCTCCCGCTTCTCAACGGGTCATCAGTCCAAACAAAGCCAAACACGTGCACAGCGAAGCTGATGGAAATCATCAGGGACCTTGGAAAAGTGGGAGCCATAATCTTCCCCTTCCTTGAAGAAGGAGTAGACCTGCCCCTCACTCACGGGGAAGCACTTGTGTCCACGACCCTTCCAGAACTTCACGCACCGAGCCTTTGCACGCAAGACTGGGCTCCGAAGGTCTTGCAATTACCCACGCCTGGAAGTTCACAGAGGTCAAACTCAACCACTTCTTCAGGGCGCACTGCCGCTCATACGTAATTGCTTGCAACTCATCCCTGGCAGTCAACGGTTTCAACCCAGCTGCCAAGTGTGCATTCACTCCACAGTCGATTTCAGCGTTCGATTTCTTAAAACCGGATGCACTGCTGTCAGCCTCGCCCCTACTTCAGGACCCCAATAAGAGACCCAGGCTGATGAAGAACTGGACGAGGCCCACACATGTCGCACGTGGCTGCTGATAACCAAACCCCTATTCCCGAAGCCATTGAAGACATTGCAGGCACCACCGCGCACGCCGCGGGAGCAGCTCCTCCTTAGTGCTGATCGCTGTTAGGCAAAGCAGGCTGCAGCTCAAAAACGAACCACCGGACATCTGCGTGAATCCACAAGTGAGGCTCTGCACTTGCACACGATCTGGGACGCGCAGAAGATCCCACAGCAACTGCGAAACGCGTGGCTGCGTCCAGAAAGTGCCGAGGTCACACCGAAGTACGACGGCTTGCATGCAAAAGGCTCATAGGATGTACAGCAGATACACGAAGGAAAAGAACCCACAAAGGAAGCCCAAGCAAAATCCTCGAAACCAGGCAAAACTGAAAGGAAAAGGACCCTAAGGAACCAGGAAGAGCCTCTAGAACGCGGCACCTCGAGAAAGGACGGACGCAATCCGCTGCCCGCCGCGCGGGAGCTTTGCACGGGCCCTAAGGGCGTACTCCTTTTGTGGCAGGACCTGTTGCAAAGAGAACCTGTTGGGGGGTCTCGCAAGCTTGAGCAGAACAAGGCCCACAAAATTTTCACTCTGAGCTCTGCAAGAGCCCGGCTTGGATATGTTGTGCTGTGTGAGAGTCACCGAAAATTTAGGTGACCAAGAACAAACAAAGATACGAGTAAGACCTGGTACAAAGAATCTTTCAAGAACGCTTTAAATTTTAAAGCTGTTTTGGGGGGTTGATAAACCAACGGAGCGCTCGCGCTCAGATATGCAGTTCCATTTTTACGACGATAACTTCGACTGCGACAACGACCACTACCTACGACTACCACTAACTACTACTGCTGCTGCGAGAACACTGCTGCTGCTGCTCCTTCTGATACTTCTACTGCTACTACTACTACTACTACTACTACTACTACTACTACTACTACTACTACTACTACTACTACTACTACTACTACTACTACTACTACTACTACTACTGCTACTACTACTACTACTGCTACTACTGCTACTACTACTACTACTACTACTACTACTACTACTACTACTACTACTACTACTACTACTACTACTACTACTACTACTACTACTACTACTACTACTACTACTACTACTACTACTACTACTACTACTACTACTACTACTACTACTACTACTACTACTACTACTACTACTACTACTACTACTACTACTACTACTACTACTACTACTACTACTACTACTACTACTACTACTACTACTACTACTACTACTACTACTACTACTACTACTACTACTACTACTACTACTACTACTACTACTACTACTACTACTACTACTACTACTACTACTACTACTACTACTACTACTACTACTACTACTACTACTACTACTACTACTACTACTACTACTACTACTACTACTACTATTACTACTACTACTACCACTACTACTACTACAACTACTACTACTACTACTACTACTACTACTACTACTACTACTACTACTACTACTACTACTACTATAATACTACTACTACTACTACTACTACTACTACTACTACTACTACTACTACTACTACTACTACTACTACTACTACTACTACTACATACTACTACTAATACTACTACTACTACTACTACTACTACTACTACTACTACTACTACTACTACTACTACTACTACTACTACTACTACTACTACTACTACTACTACTACTACTACTACTACTACTACTACTACTACTACTACTACTACTACTACTGACTACTACTAACTACTACTACGACGACGACTACGACTACTACTAACTGCTACTAAACTACAACTACTACTACTACTACTACTACTACTACTACTACTACTACTACTACTACTACTACTACTACTACTACTACTACTACTACTACTACTACTACTACTACTACTACTACTACTACTACTACTACTACTACTACTACTACTACTACTACTACTACTACTACTACTACTACTACTACTACTACTACTACTACTACTACTACTACTACTACTACTACTACTACTACTACTACTACTACTACTACTACTACTACTACTACTACTACTACTACTACTACTACTACTACTACTACTACTACTACTACTACTACTACTACTACTACTACTACTACACACTACTACTACTACTACTACTACTACACACTACTACTACTACTACTACTACTACTACTACTACTACTACTACTACTACTACTACTACTACTACTACTACTACTACTACTACTACTACTACTACTACTACTACTACTACTACAACTACACTACACTACACTACACTGCACTGCACTGCACTGCACTGCACTGCACTGCACTGCACTGCACTGCACTACACTACACTACACTACTCCTACTACTACTACTACTGCTACTATTACTACTACTGCTATTTTATTGAACGCTGAGCGAGCGGGCTCTGCTCATTGCGGGCGATTCGCACCGTTCTGAGCACCGAAAATTAGTTTGGAGCGGTAGTTGGAGAGGTGAAACCGAATTCACTAGGTGTAGATCAGTGTGAGACGAGGCGAGCTTCTGGACTTGGTTAGAGTGTTGAGGAAGTGCTGTAGCTAGTTAGTTAGCTGTCATTTGGGTGAAAAGAGTTGTAGCTCCCGTCATCCTACTGTGTCTCACTGCGTCCAGTAGACACGCACCTTCCTGCAAGTGGGTCGTACCGGATTGGCCGTCTCCCTCAGTGTCCATCTTGTGGCGTCCCACATGGATCATTGATGCAGGGAGGCAGAGGACCGTAGAGCAGTCACTTTGGCAGATTTGCAGCAGTGTGTGTTGGGCTGGGCCTCCCGGATTCAGAGTAAGGCAATCCTCACTAGGTA